CTTTCTTTCTTTCTTTCTTTCTTTCTTTCTTTCTTTCTTTCTTTCTTTCTTTACTAGAGTAAAAACAAAGGAACGCCTATACATTTTATGTAAGTTCTACAATGTTAAGTTGAACTGTATATGATCTATGGACAAGCTATAGGACATTAGTAGCATGATCCTGTTTTGATGAACTTGTAAATGAGCACTAAATGAGGTTTCCATTTCAAATATTTGTAAACCTGCTTGAGTCTGGTGATCCACGTTTAATTATATTTGGTACATCATTAATAAGAATAGCAATATAGACCGTGTCAATATTTCTTGTCGCATTAAAGATTAATAGGGATCACATTTGTTATCCATTTATCCTGTCTTAGTTGTCAGTTTTGTTATTTTCTTTTTAATTTTTATGTGAAAGCAAATCAGGAATTTTACAAATTTTCCATGATGTTCATGTTTAATTGGATTCCTATTTTGCCTCTTCAACTGAGAGTTGACAAATAAGAAGATAATAAGTAAATATCTGCCACGGGTACCATAAAAGTTTATTCTTTGTTTTTATTGGTCAGTGGTACATAGTGTTCAAAGCTCCGAAAGCAAAGGCTAACCATAAAAGTTAATCACTGTATAGAAATCTGAAGTCCAGTAAATTTCCACATGCTCAGAAACAAAACACGGGTGTACCAGGAAAACAACAGCAGGTGGAGATCTTTTGACCTAATAGTTTTGCTTCATCTTTTAAAACACTGAAACAGCTGATGTGTTTTTAGCCCCCTCTCTATTTCCCACCATACAGCCACAAACACACACACACACACAGCCACAACTCTAAGAAAAAAAAAGAAACTGCTGTAGCTCTGGGAAACCCTTTCCATTTGATGGTGTGGTTTGCTGACTCAGATGGGATAACACTTCTGTATCATGACACGGAAGCTATCAGTTTTGAGGGACACCCAGCATTTATTGACAAGACGGATGTCACATGTCTTTGTGTATTAAGATTTAACATCAGAGACACATCATAGTTGTTTTGTGGTGACACAAGTTCATGCTGGTGGTGTTGTAGGGGCATAATGCCGCTCTCACTTTACTGTAAACTGAACAAGTTTGGAAGCCACGTCCGTGCTATTTTGCCTCAGTTTTACCTCAAGCAAAGGAAAAACAGATTTATTGTGAGTGAAAGGAAGAGGGGCTGCTTTGAGCACAGAAACTTAAGCAATAACAACAGAGTGTAAAAACTCTCTTGAGCTTTTCACTTCTCACTCCAGTGAGATGAGTCAACTGTGAGGCACATGCCACAAAGCAAGAATGTTACACACTATACATGGGAGGAGGGTAATACGTATCCTGAAAACAGACTGTACTCAAACATTTTGTCCCAACAGTGAAAAAAAATTCCCTTCCAGTCATGAGGAGACTGGCTTAGGTTTAGTTCAAACATTACACACCTGAGAAAATGGTGAACAGTTACAGCAAGTGCAAAAGTGAAACACAGAAGCTTTTGTGTATTCCCCATTGAATATATATGTTCATCGCTTCCCTGAACTGTCCCAAAATTCTCTCACCTGCTTCAGATATACTTGTATGACACTAGTTTCCTGTTTCATTCAAGAAAATAATATGAACAACGCTTCAATCGCTGCTATTCTGTGGTAAACATACTACAAAAAACAATCCTGACGTCTTACAGAAAGAATACAAAAGGGAGCCTGTTAATGTGCTGCACAGAACTTTTAGATTGAGCTCTGAAAATAGTGCCTGAATTCTCACTTTGTTTTGGATTCCCACAATTATGGGTTACAACAAACCATAGCTCTCATCCAGAAAGGGAAGTGAAATAGAGGATGACTGAGAGGCATTTCCTGCGGTCCAGCCTCGCTGTCACTTGCTGTCATTGGTGGCTGTTTACTGTCATTGTCACTATGGGCAACAGCTGAGCCATCACTGGGAAAACACAGGGCTTGTCCTGTCTTCTTGAGTCTTAACGACTGAAAAACAATTTGAGTCAAATATGTTTTGTTTCATCTATGTTTGGTAATGGAAAGCACTTGTGGGATGGAAACCTATCCTGAGAATCACGCAATAATATTTTCTTGTGTGATATGCACTTTTTCAATGAAGGGTATAACCAGCTTTCTGTTTCTGTAGCAATGACATAGTACCGTATTTATGAATTTGTTTATTGTTCAATGGCTTTTCACATGGTCTCTGGTCCCTGTTGCAACAATAGCCCCTTCTATATCTCAGCATTTCTGTTTATCTTAATGGTTTTGATACTTCTCTAAGGGAATCCATGTTTTTTTCCCAAATGTTTGTGTGTTTGCAGATTCTGTCTCATATAGTGTGTATTTAATTTGTCATTGATCTAACTTCTATTACCTTTTTTTTATAAATCACTTGTTAACTCCATATTAATTTTGGGCAGTTTTTTTCTTTTTGCATACATTTTTCTTTGTAGCTAGATTTGTTTTTCCCTAAAAATGCTCAAGGTCCTTTTGACCTGTTGCTCAACTACGAGTATAAGGCAACGCATTCATAACACTTTGAATAGAAACATTATCTCTGTATGAAGATATAGATTAACAACAGTAAAATAAAAAGATTAAATGTGACATCACAATTGTCGTAATTTTTTAGCAATATTGTTGCTCTCTCATATGTTACAAAAAGAAAACACCACAGTGTATCTCTGTATTCTCACAAACGCCTTATTCAGGTTTTTTTGACCAAACAATATTTGCATTAAATCTTTCATGACCGGCGAAACTTATCTGCAAACAAAATCACGTGACCATCTTCGTAATCATTTTCAAGTTTACAGATAACTTTTAATAAAAAACGATTGCCGAGGTCCCGGAGGAAACAGAATCAGAGCAAACAGGAAGTAGCTTTCAGCCAATCGGCTTTTGCAAAGCGTCCTAAGCTGACGTCAGCCCGGTACCGATGAACAACCGGTAGCGTTGAAGGCAGCAGTATTTGGCCATTATTAATACATTTGCTAACTTGTTCCCTGTCAAACTAGCAAACATCATGCCTTTCGATGTTAGGAGGTGAGTAAGGGGTTTTCTTTCGTTTGTGTTAGACATGAGGGGACGAAAGAAGTGTTTGCAGTGTGTGAGCTCTGGATGAATTAACGGCGGTTCCAAGCATCGTATCTGACTGAATAAAAAAAGTCAAAGTTATAAAAGAGGAGTTTTTTTCCTGGTACAATTGACTTCTTTTTGTCTTAGAGGGGTGTGAATGTTTTTTTAGTCGGTGAGGTGATGCTCATGTATGGAAGAGTTTTGTGTTGGTAGTTACCCGCGCATGCGCAAGTTTCCACATCCAGCCTTAAATTTGAATTGATACTGATGTCGGTAATCTTAGCTGTGACTTGAACATCCCAGATAGCAGAGGGAAGAACACGCGTTGTCTTACAAACTTAATGGTTTAGATTCAACTTGCATGAAGCTGGAAGCTTTGCAGTTTCATGCGTATAAGATAAATCAGAAGCATCAGCCACAAACAACGATAGTCCTGCATACACAAATCTGCTGGCATCAATTAATACTCCTAATACTTGGTTCAACAACTAACAGTTACACCCAGTGTTAAGGCCTGCAAACTGAGCATATCCTTTGTCAAAATGAAAAACGGGATATTTACACTCCTCTATCCGAGCCATTGCATTGGCATCCCTTCATGCTCACCCTTTGTCAACATTTGCAGCTTTTCACAAACAGAGGCGTCACTTCCTACAGTTATTAACAGCCGCTCTTGTATTTTCTTGCCTTTATCACTGCTGTGTTATAGTGACAGAAAAGTCCACCACACTGAGTGTTGAAACACCATTGGTGGTGCTTTGGTAGATGGCCGGTTAACTGCATAACAGGCGGTCAAAGGGTTTCAGAGAGTTCATTTACTAACTTCCTTTTTAACCAACACTGCAATAGCTGCTTACGCTCTAATGAACTAACTACTCCGTAGTTTGGAGGTGTTACTTGCGGAAATGTTCTGGGCATGAGTCATCGTTGTTTTGTTACTGTACTTTACAACATACACTGATGAAGCGTGTATTCCTGGAAGGATGCAGGTGTTTTTTTTTGTTTTTGTTGTTGCTTTTAATCTTCTTTTTTGACTCCCCCAAAACTTAGTTCTCCTCATCATCAGGCCACTGTTTGTTTTGAATTATGGAAGTAACGCCGCAGGAATGAATATTACACAAGCGAGCACTCAGATCTCATATCTGCTCCTCTGCTTACGCTGCAAAGCCAAACCAAACACGCTTTGTTGGCTTTTTAGATTTGATCCTAAAGCTGTTAGTGCAGGTCTCACGAGGAAGGGTGCAGTGTAAAGTGTTAAGCAATCAAACATATTCCTTTGAATATTCCTCACAACTTTATCCAGATGTAGTCACTGGAAGCCATTCCAGAAGTTTTCATGTGAGGAAATAAATTTCACAAATCACAAGATCATGTGCTGTCATCAAAAATCCAGATGGTGGGTTAATATATTTTGACAATCAGATGTTCTTTTGAGTTCAGAATTATTTTTTCCCTACCATAAATGTCATACTTTGGAATGCACCTAATTGCTGTAATATATATTACACAAGGCCTTACTACGGATTTGTGCACATTTGGTGTTACAGGGAGTCCTTTCTGCACCTTATTTTGCCCAACTTGATGGTAAGATTAGTTCATTGCAAGTTTTGGGCGTCTCCTGGAACTTACTCGTTACGAAAAGCATCAGCCTTTTGAACTTTGCATCTTCTTTTCCTTTCTGTCTTCTCACCCTGGATGGTGAAATACTTTCTGTAAGTGGTCATGACCTTCTTTATTTTCGCTGTGACATCATTAACAATGACCAAACCAAAAAGTACGGGCAGATAACACAAGATCTGCATTCTCAAATCGTATTGGTTTCTTAGGTTTTGTCACATATCGGCTCAGGGCTGTTTATGAAAAAAATAGAATAAGGTTTCCTTTAAATTTCCTTTAGCTAACATGATGATGGAGAGTGTTTGTGAAGCGATGGCTGGATCACGGTGACTTTAGCGCTTTGGTTAGAAAGTTAAGTGCCTTGTCAGTAGATGTAATCATGCCTCCTTTCCTGACTCAGATTGGCAAATCCTTGACGTACAGTTAAAGTCAATGACAGAAACCCTACGCCTGGAAAGGTGCAGGAACACGCTGCGTAGAAGACACAAACGCGTCATATGCGACAACCCTTAAGTCTCTATTGTGTGGGTTTTCTCAGCAACACAAGAGGAGGATGAGCCACCAACTTAACCGTGACTCATCCTCAAGATTCAGTTTACTTAATAGGACCTTTCCTTGAAGAGCAGCCCTGTGCTTTCGCCTCACAGGGTTAACTGAGATATGCCGGTACACCGTGTCCTCACTATTGACAAAACATGTCATGGTGGAAAATGTGTTTACTGTAATTCAGGAAATGACAAATGTCAGCAAGAGATCCTCTTTCACAAATACACGGCGTTCATATTACTCAGTTTTTGTTTTTTAAAGACAATTTTGGGGCCATTTTAAGTTTGCACCCTTTGAAACAAGATGTGTCCTGAACATAATTGGAGTCTGAAAGTCAGGTTCAAAGTTCTTTGGTTCATAGGAACATATTTCATTACGGAGGATGAGTCATCATATGTGACAACTGCAATGTTTTAAGTGGACTGAGCGTGTTATTAAAGTTTTATTGAAGTGTTATAACGGTCTGTATGACCGTCTTATCACCTGACTTTACATTGACCTTTTTTTATGATAGCTTTAATCTGTGTAATATTCAAACGCAAATAGAAACATTAGCAACTGTGTATAAATTAAGAGGTTTTATTAGGTTTGAACTGAATCAAAGCTGCTGAAGCTGAATATTTTTCATGACTGAATAATACAAGAACCTTCTTTTCCCATTTTCACAGATTCATATTGAATTCCTGGATGAGAAAACAACACACACAGAATGTGTTTACAGCATCTCATCTGTGTCCAGCTAATTCAGCACAGCCCCTTTGTTCTCAATGGGACTGTGAATACTCTGATTTTATTTTCATATTATGGTCTAGCTTTATTATGATCACTTTTTTATAAAGTTTTAACGTTTTTCATAACGTTTAAAAAAAGTTGTATATACTTTTTTTAAAATAAAAAAAGCCTTCGGCCCAAATGTGATCATTATTAGACAGATCTGCTGACACAATGAAATTGTTTTTATCTGTTCTTATTACACATTTCCAACTTCCTGGCCTTCGTCTGTGCCAGCACTTTAAAACCCAAGGCCTCCTTGTGATGAAACATTGTACAAAGCTCTGTGCTATTTGAGAAATGATGAAATGGACAGTGTGTGTGTGTGTGTGATGGAGGAAGGGACTGTGTAGGCATGGGATTTCTGAACTTTAGCCCCCGAACAATGTGGTTAAATTGTCTGGATGCTGTTTTACTTTGTTAATACTTTGTTATTTAATCAAATATTGTAACATGAGTTAAGAGGTAACACAGGAATACTTTTACACGACAATTCTTGGACTTTTCATTGCATCTGTTGAGGTTATTTGTGGTTCACATGCGGTATTTGAGACTATTGCGCATCTTGAGTGACTACATTTGTGAAGCTTTAATTTCCTGGTTCATTGTCCAGTCAGTGAGAAGGTGTCTTCTCATGTTTCTGTAACCAAAAAGAAAGATAAAGCATTGTCATTAGAAAATAGCAGCACAAAGTAAAAACTTAAGCTCAACAATTAGAAGCAATGAGCTCGTCTGAGAAGCTGTCTGACCGTTCTGAAGTTGAGAAAAATTGATACCCACAAGGCAGGCAAATGTTATAAAAAGAAAACAAAGTGCTATCATTTTGATGCATTAGGAATAATCAGTGACGGAAGAGAAAACGTCAATGAAAAGCCTTAAACTAAGAAGCACCTTGCTTGACTGTAAAAGACGTTTTAAAAGCAGGCTGTTGGAGGTCTGCAAACATAAATAACCAGATATTTTAGAGCTTTTCTGTGACTTTCACTCCAAGTCCCATCTGTCTGGTGGTTTCGTGGAGGAAGGAGACCCTCGTTCTGCACGTAAAGGCTCAGCATTCAGGAAACTCTTAGACAGGACAGCCACTCCCTGACCTCTTTGTTTGATTCCTCTCTGCACTGTCTGCCCTATATATCCTGTTAGGCCAGCTATTAGCATGCAGTGATCTAATGCTAAAGGGGGGGGGGGGGTCAGGGGTCCTCACGTTGGGGATGAAAACAAACCAGCAGAAGGTGAAAGAAAACAGGAGGAGCCGTACAGTTTGGGTTGGACAGGAAACCCTCCCTCCCGCTTCCTCCTCCACCCAGCATTTCATCAGCTGTACTCGGGTCCCTGCCAGCTCTCTGTGGAAGGAATATAGACAGATGTGAGTGTTTTGGTTGGAGATGTGGAAGGCGAGCGCGAGGAGAGGGAGGGCGGGTGTTGTGCATTCAGTGATGAAGTGCCGGGTTGAAAAGGTTTCACTGCCCAAAAAGGACATGTATGTGCAAGAACTCCTGAAAGGGAATACTTTCAGAGTTGAGTAGCAGATTTGTTTTGGGTCAGCTCCCTTAATAGGCAGCAGAAATATTTTATGAGAGAAGGGTTGATTTTTGCCAGATTTAAGTCCTCATCTAAGGGCTCTGATTCACCCGTTTAGGCAAATGGATTAAGTATTAAGAATTATGTAATTCATTTTTTCTCATTTTCTATCACAATGCATCCTTCACTTTTGTTTTTACTAACTTATGAGAAGATGGACACTTATCATTTTAAAAACGATGTTGGAGTTCTGCTGACATTTATACGGATGTGTGTTTGTGGAAACGGCTTCTTTTGGGGTCACGTCATGATAACAGATCACACATGCAACGGAAGAGGTGTAACTCTGTAAAAGTGTGTGAGTTTTGTGTGTTGCAGCTGGCTGTGTGGGTCTGTTATATGGGATGGCGCAGGTCCAGAGCTAACATTCCACCCCTCTTCTGTAATACCGCACAGCATGATGGGTACAGAATGTGCCGCTCTTCTCAGCACATATTGTTTACATTTGGCCTTTTTTCACACCCTCGTTTCCCCTTTTTGTTTCCTTTTTTTCTGTCTCTTCTCAGATTTGATATCTACAGGAAAGTGCCAAAAGATCTCACCCAGCCAACATATACGGGAGCTTTCAGTGAGTAGTTCCTCATGCAGAGGATGAAATCATGGCTAACTCTGTCCGTTTCACAGTGTGGACAATTATGTTGAATAAAGTTTGCTTTATTAAAGTCCCATTTATATGTTTACTGACTTTCCACTTCTTAATAAAAAAGCATATATTTGGGTCAGTTACAACTCCATTTAGCCATTGACACAGAGGGGTCAGTTCTCCGTGTATCAGGCTTATTCATTCTATGCCTTTTTTTTCTATGTATTTTCATTACCTGTTAAGTAGTGAGAAACACACTAGGACCGGCTATGGCTAGTTTTTGTGCCAAAACTAAACTAGCACACTTGGTTTAACAACAAGTTGAAGTTTTCCAAGTAGGCTTCCTTGTGTTAAAGAAGGTGGGTAATATTGTAATATCATAGCTGCTAGTTAACATATTTTAAATCTGTTTATCAATTAGTCGCACAGGACTGAGCTGTTTCCTATCTCTTTTCACTCTTATGCTAATTGAGTTAATAAGCATTTAAATGCATCACAACAAACAGAACTAAAAGAAGTAAGTCTTCACAAATACCTCACTTTTAGAACTCCTCTTTTGACAAACATGAGGTGGATTTCATTAAAAGTTTTTCTCTTTTAACGTTAAACAACCAGCAAATAAAACAGATGGTGACAAATGTAGTAACACTGTTAATTCTTTTAAAAAAAGAATTTAATGGCTTGATGGCTGTAAATCACACAACTGTCTCACCCTGTATTACTAGTATGCTAAAAATGCTAATGTCATGCTTTGTCATTGCCTTAGGCACCTGAGAGGCTGTTTCCTGGTCATGTGTTTTCAAATCAGTCATTGTATCGTCAGGATTGGATTGATTACTCAGTGCTCAGTTAAAAACAATCAACCTGATGACACATTCTTGGCGCCATGCTCTTCTTCTTGTGGCACCAATCAGCGTATGAGAGCACAAAGTAGAACAAAGTACCAACCTCAGTCAAACTGATGACACAGCGGATAAACTGAGCTGTTGTGGCACGCTGGACAGTTTTATGGCTGATTATAGCCCTTTCCTGGATGACGGAGTAGAGGGTAAATTTGCTGAAGTTATACTCTTGAGTTTCCACCAGAAAGGAAATGGCGGAAGTCCTTCCTGTACACATTGGACTCCCATCCTGTCTCCTTCCACTGTCTCAGAGCGAGGGCACTGGGTTGATTTAGGCACAGGACAACTATTGATGCTTCATCCACATCATGTCGACTCTTAGCCTCAGAGGCAGCCATAAACAGCCCTTTTCACAAAGGGTCGAGTGGCTTTGTTTTTTCTTTTTTTTCTTTTTTTAGCCTCAACTTTCAATTATATTTAGATTTGAACAAAAGCTTTTGCCACAGTGGCTTCCGGACTACCCCTCGTTTTGGAAATAAACCCATCAGTCTTTTTATTTTTTTAAAAACTTTTTCTGCCATTTATGATGCTAAGTTGTAATTTTCTCGTCGGTGAATATGGGCTTTAGCCAAACATTAACAATACTGCAGAGCTGGAATGCGACAGACTGATTCATGGTGGCGTTGCATCCGATTCTTTGTGTCACATCCCTGAAAACCCATTAGCACAGAGGATGAGCTAGAGTTGAAATGAAAGACACTTGTTTGAAGTCTTTGATTTCTCATTCTTTCCATTGCTTGGTATTCTAAAAGCAGTAGTTGCTCATTACTCTAACCTTTAGAAATCCAATAACAAACTTTGTCCTATGAGGCCAGGAAAGAATTACTTCACAAGGCTTTTGATGAACCTGAATTGGTAACGTGTGTGTCATAGCGACACTCCCTATTGTTTGCTGGTTAAACATTACCTTATGTAAAGCCTTCATCCGCCACAGGTTTGGCCAGAACGCCCTCCTAACCGCAGGGTCATGTGATTGCAAAAACCTGGGAGACGGTTGCCACGTAAACATAACTCACCTGCTGCGTGAGAGCTGTCAAACTGTGGCTCTCTTCATTCCGGATAAACCACAGTTGCGCAGACACAGATCAGTTGCTTCCATATTTATCTGAGTGAACACATGACAACGTGTTGGAACCTTTTGCTGATTAGTTTGACACATGAAGTGAAACAGGCAGTTTGGCTGCTTATACTAAATAAGTAGACAAGACTAAGAAAATAGATATTTTTTTATTTTGGATTGACATACCTAACTTGGCCTTTGTTTAGGCTCTTTGGAGGCTCTTTTTGGTTAGGGTGTAAGAGTCTAAAGAGTAAAGTGTGCATTAGTGAGGCATAACATGAGATCACCCGTCTCAAAAAAGAATGGTGTAATGGCTGTGCAGTGTGCTGGTGTTTCATGGATAATTAGTGCAGGATGCTCCTTTAAAACCTGCCTAATGGTGGGCTTTACATAGCCAATAAAGCCTCTATTTAGGGCTTTTTCTTTTTTACGACTGCCGCAGTTTCATTAATCGCCTTTAGCTCAAGTCAGCTATTCGAGAAAATTATGTAAAAAATTTTTTGGCTCATTTGGTAGAAACTTTTAAGAAATAGCTGGTTTAAATGTGGGTTTAAAGTAAGAACAGAGGCAAATATTAGACTGATGAAAGTTTTAACCAGACGCTCAATATAACTGCCTTTTTCCCCACAGTCTCCATTCTGTGCTGCGTCTTCATCCTCTTCCTGTTTCTGTCAGAGTTGACAGGGTTCATAGCAACTGAAATGTAAGTATCGCAGCATCTTCTAGCTGACACACAAGAAAACTTGATAATGGATCCAAATGGAGTCAATTTTCTGGAAATTGTCTCTGCATTCGTCAGCCTCTTGGCAAGGTGTAATAAAGGATGACATGAGAAGGGTGTGAAAGGAAGGATATTACACTGCCAAAGATACACAAATGCCCTTTTTACAGTTTGGCAAAGGATGAGTCCCTGAATGTTGAATCTGATCAGTGTGAAAATGATTTCTAATGGAGGACTATTTTGGAAAATAATAATAATCTAACCATTTTCCCTCTTTTTATCCATTGTAGTGTAAATGAATTGTATGTGGATGACCCTGATAAAGACAGTGGTGGGAAGATAGAAGTGAGTTTAAACATCAGTTTGCCAAACTTACACTGTGATTGTGAGTATATACGTATATCCAACTCTCTACTTCTCTGCACTGTAATGTATGTGTTGGTATGTTTTGTCTTTCACACTGTTAGAGGGGCAAATTAAGACATTCGATAAGGCTTTGTTTACTTGGTTGTGTTTTGCCATGCTAGTAGATAACACCAGACCAACCCCAGTTTAATCTCCCACTGCTGCACTGCTGATACCGAGCTGCCTTTAACTGGCCGGCTCCACTCTGAGGTCAGAGGATTGTGCCGGCACGTCAGAAAGCAGTCCGTTAGTTTCTCTTCATGACTCTGTTTATAAAACCTTCCCCCTCGACAAATCGCACACACACTCCCACATTAGCGAGGCCGAGGCAGCGCAAAGACCTCACACTTTTTTAATTTTTTTTCTCTTCGTTTGAGCCGTATCCAGAAATGGAAAAGCCAATAAATACTTATGTGAAAATTGAACCCAGGTTGATGCAATAGAGGCTCTGGGATACAGAGCCACAGCTGTCAGCCATGTGCTTGGAGAATCATACTGCTGGCATTCCCAAACAAAGCCCAGAGTTTCTATCTAAAGCAGCAGATGCTGCATTTCTGTATTCCTTTTTAAAAAAAGACATCCTAGGACTTTACAAACTTCAGTTCTTGGGCTCCAACACACTGCCGCTTCATATAATGAGCAGAAATCTGTCTCGGAGAGTTAATATTGTACAAGTATGAGAATATTTTCCAGGCCTCCAAACAGCTTGTCATGTGTTGCTAATTCACTTGGAGGGATGACACCATTTCATCATGGAAAAAGTGAAAAATCTTTTCAGTATTTATCTGGCTGCTTTGCCAGAATTAAACATCCTCTCCTTCCGCTGACCTTTATTGGTTGCCTTGTCTTGATTTGTGACTTCATGGAAAAACCCAACTGCGTGTAGCAACTCCACAACAACCCCCACCCCGATTTGGATCCAGTTCATATCAATCCACTTCTATCCCTGAATGTCTTTAAAAGGCTAAACGATCATGTCTCTCACACTCCCTTCATTTATATCTGTCCACTGTATTTCAAGATCTGGACAGACAGAGTGAGAGCCTTCACCTTGCCTCTAATGTCAGAGGTCGGACAGGCAACATGTGCAGCTTTTAGCAGAGATCCAGCACACATTTCTTTTCGAACGGCTGGCCGATATGCCGCACAGACAGCCTCAGAAAATAGGTTACTGCCAGTGTGCCAACAGGCAGTGGGCCGCGGGAGGGGGAGGGGGGTTGTTACCGAAGTCTCTATGGAAAAACACAGAGAGAGGGGGGGGGGCGACGATGGGCATTATGTTTGGACTTTGTTGGGCTGACTTTGTAGGTCACTCTGTGCAGGGATATGTGCGGCTATATACAGTTTACAATTTATTAATCACCTTTTCATATATTAGTCTCTGAATGAGAGATATAAAGTGGCAGATTATTTTTTACAATGCAGGGATTCCTTCCGCTAGTTTTTCCAAAGCTTTTCTTTAGACATGTTTGTGGTTGCGTGGGCACCGAGACCTCAAAAACAAGCATGTGCCTTTCCTATTATATTTTATTACCGTACAACATGAATCACAGGAAAGATGTGACCCCATGACTTCAGTCTGTCTACTGATATTTTCTTTAAAGTACCCACAAAAGCAAATCTGTCAAAAGTAAATCAGCTTTTGTCCATCGGCTTGTGTTCTCTGAACCAAAACAATTAAAGCTTGTTTTTTTATTTGTTCAGTGGTGGGTTTGGACATCCAAGATGAGATGGGCCGCCATGAGGTCGGTCACATAGACAACTCCATGAAGGTTCCTCTCAACCAGGGCAGCGGCTGCCGCTTTGAGGGAGAGTTCACAATCAACAAAGTAAGGACCCATCCCAGAGCGGCCCCCAACCGAGATGAGATTCTAAACTGAATACTGAAAACTGATGTAATTTTGTTATAGAATTATTTTCATGGTTTGTGTTGAAGTTGAGTCAAATATAGAAGGTGCACCCCTGGCTCCGGCTTCCTCTTTCAGTCTAAATCGAGTTAGTTTAATGGGAGAGCTGCGGCATTCAGTTACATCTGTGTGTAATACGGGCCCCACTTGCCCCACATCCCCATCTTGTGCGTTGGTCTTTCCACTACATTGAAAATGATTAACTCAGCAGTTGGACAATTAACAGTCCTGCTCGTGGAATAGTCAGAAACATTGAAGGAACATTTAGTTTCCAACAAAGTGTGCGTGTCCGTGTAGAGCTGGCTGTTGGTTAACTGCCTGTGTGGTTGGTGCTGGCTGTGCTATGAAAACATGAATCTGAGCCGGACCATTTTGCAACTTCAGGTACCAGGAAACTTCCATGTGTCAACACACAGCGCCACGGCGCAGCCCCAAAGCCCCGACATGAGCCACACCATCCACAAGCTGGCTTTTGGGGAAAAGCTGCAGGTCTGGACAGACGCACGCAAAAACTAATTTAAAACTCATTTTAAAAAAAGCGAACAAGATTAGATCTGCAGCGTTCAGGCTGAACATGAACATATTTTCTTCTCATTATGACGCAGGTACAAAAAGTCCAAGGAGCCTTCAACGCTTTAGGAGGGGCAGACAGGCTGTCATCCAATCGTACGTATCCACTCAGCACATGTTGTCATTATAACCACGACTTGACATTTATGTAAACCTGCTGGCTGACACTGGATGATGCAATGAAACAAGATCCAAACTTAAGGGAAATTTGAGTCAGAAAGCTGACGCTAAACCTCATTCGGAATAGCTTCACACACTTATGTCACGCTGAAATCAACATCCCAGTTTAAATGCTGAAATTGTTTTGTTTTTTCAAATTGGGATAATGAAATAATGTTTCCTCCACTGCAGCTTTGGCCTCTCATGACTACATACTGAAGATCGTGCCCACAGTGTATGAAGACCTCTCGGGCAGACAGAGATTCTCCTATCAGTACACAGTAGCTAACAAGGTACTGTATCCAAGCAAACCACTTGTTTCATTCGGTCCCACACTTTCTTTTCACCTGTCGAAGCTGCAGCTTGACCGTCCCAACATATGGTCAGGCTGCACTTACCCGCCCCTGGAAGCTCATCCACGGTGACTCAAAACTCTCTCAAGATGTCAACCAATCATAAAGACACTTCTTAGAAGTGTTTTGATGAAAAACTGGGTTTGGAGTGGGAAGTATCAACAGTGCAGGTCAGCTGTGAGGCATGGAAATGAGGGCCTGAGCAAAAAATTCCCCGACCTCATTCCAGAAACTTAAATGGGTCCAGCTGGGGCACGGCCTTAGCCTGGACTGTAACACTCTTTGTCACACCAAATGTATTGATGTGAGTACATTCTCTGTGTGTGGGTGGATTAGCAATGGTTTAGCAGAGATGCATTTTTCCATACTCACTGATAGGTGCATCATCTGTGACTCACTGAGCACTGTAGCCTCGTCACGCTAACTTCATCTAGGTTTTATTCAGCCAAGATGAATTTCGAGTGAATCACCCAGATCTTTGTATGATTTATAAACGCCTTCTGCTTTAACTCAAACCATCATTACTAATGGAAGCACATTGCCCAGAACTGATTTCTACATTTTTAAATTATTTTTAGATTCGTAACACTGCCCTTGTCCTTGTGCACACAGGAATATGTTGCTTACAGCCACACAGGCAGAATCATCCCAGCAATTTGGTTCAGATACGACCTCAGTCCAATCACAGTCAAGTACACAGAGAGGAGACAGCCCTTCTATCGCTTCATCACTACAGTGAGTGAAATCACATGAAACCTGTTTTATGTTTTTAGAGAATGTCAAATGTAAAATTCTGAGTTAATTTCATGGAAACACATTTTCTATGGGCGTTCTGTTTATTAGAAATAGATGCTCCTTGTAGCGCGCGAAAAAGCGGCAGCACAACCACAGCTGCTCTTCTGTTATCAGTCAAAATCTCATAACAGTTGATCTCTTTTTCAAATTTAATCTCAGCGTTTTGAATAGATAACTGGATAATGAATCCAAAGCTTAAGATATATATATTTCTCTTTTTCCCTTTGAACCCATGACAGCCGACTTGTTTTGAATCAAGCTGAGTTATAAATGTCAGCCTCTGTAGATATAAGGCCCGTCCAAATTGGGTTTCGTGCCAGATTATTTCCACTTTGTCTAAGTTTAGCTTAGCAAAGGAGTTAGCATGGCTAACTAATGACTAATGTTTAATTAAAAGGTGGCATAACATTCTCCTTCTCACTATGGAGATTTTTTTTGTCCTTCATATTTAAACGTTTTTGTTTTTTATTTCCCTGACATTTAATTTCTTTGTATATTTAGTTTATATGACAAAAGGTCTGACCAAAATAGAAAAGTGCAAGTGTTCCATAAAGAAAAGAAAGAAGTCCAAAACAAACGACCCAAGCAACATCTGCATCCTTAAAATGGAACTCAGCTTGTGATTATGACGCTTGCATTCATGGTCATGACTAGGTTCCTTCAGGACAGAATTATCATTTGGTTAGCATTTTTGCTGACAAACAGCCAGGCATTTTTAGCAAGACCTAAAAGAGGGAAATAATGTAGGCCTTTTAGTTGATGTATGGTGAAAATAGACTTCATAAATGGTTATATCAGTCTGCTTGATTTGCAAAAAAGCACCCAGTCAATATAGAGGTGACTTTTATTTTACAAAGCCACAATTAGACCTTCCTTTCTGCGCTCGTGTCTGAGAGAAAACCATGTTAGGAGGCTGCTAATGGCATTCAGCAGAGGGGTGCTGACCTGCTCCCCTCATTGTAGTAAAGTGAAAGAATGCCACCTCCAAACTTCCTGAAAAGCTTTAGTCTTCCGCTGCCTGGACTCCTCGTCTCACCTCGTCAGCCTAGGAATCTTGGCTCACCACCTCATCATCAGGAATTTTTCCCTCTGGCTGATCCTGCGCTCAGGATCCAATTGGCTGCTTGACTGAAGATGTGCACTGATATCGTTTAGGACTTTCATGACTTCAGGCATTTTAAGGAGCGGGGCTGCTATCATTAGTCACGACTAAAGATTGTGAATGAAGGGCTTTTTTTCTGGCTTTCTTTGCCTGCTCATACCAAGATGTGAGTGTAATGTATTGTTATGATCAAGTGAGAGTCGGCCAGCTGGCATTAAGTCAGACCGATGACAGAAAACTAAAACACATGATAGGTCTGAGAAGTTGAGACTGACTGGAATGTTTTCTTTAGATTTGTGCCATCGTTGGAGGGACGTTCACAGTCGCAGGAATCATCGACTCCTGCATATTTACTGCCTCAGAGGCTTGGAAGAAGATCCAAATTGGAAAACTGTCATGAAGACTGCCTCCCTCCCCTCCTCATTCCTTATTTATGACAGCAAAGCTGCTAGCCTGTTAGCTAAATCCAACCCTTATTGAAAACAAGCTCGTGGAGATGGTATCACCGTGACCAATGAGAGGTCTCCGGTGCACGATATAACTACCAGGCTGCATGGCTGTGTCTCCTTTACCCAACGTCCTCTCAGGCTCCCTCTGCCCTGCTGACGCGTGGACGCTGACTATCACATGTCCGTTTCCTCCGTCATCAGGGTCAGGAGAGGAGAGGGATTCTCTTGTTACTTTGGGGATGGATTTTAAAGAACTTTGTGGCAGGAACTGTCTTCTGTATGTTTTCTTGGATGGGGTGGGCGACTGACAACAGTTTATTTGGAAGCTGAGATGGCTCATGCTTGTGCTGTTATTGAACTTTTTCAGATGCCAGCACCATGTGTTACATTCAGGAGTTCCACATGGGAACTTTTCTTTTGTGTCAAATTCATGGAAATGATCAATTTAGGAGTTTGTTTAGGGGGAATTCAAAAGGTTGGCTGCTTATCAAGGCAAAAATGAAGCAGCGGGTATGTGAAGCACATGTTATTTAGGACTGGAAATTAAAATTGAACTAGTTTCTGTCTGTAAGATTTGCACTTTGTGCAGTTGAGCTGAAGTCTTTTTAGCCACCGTCCCTCTACTTGGACTGCGTGCCTTTTGGTTTACTTCCCCACCATCATCGGCTCTGTTTCACTACGTGTTTCACATGTGTTGTTTGTCCTTTTTTGAGATAGTTCTACCCATTTATCATACTCTTACTTTCCATACAATGTCTATATAATGTTACATCAGAGCTATCAAAAGTCCCATTTGGACTCTCTCTGCTCCATCTCTGTGTAAGAAAATAAAATGAATGTTTCTTCTAATTTGATTTACTTACATGGTACATGTGTTTTTGTTTTTGTTTGCATGAAGTCATAATCTGTTTTCTCATTATTCTCTTGTCTCTGTTCGAGCGCCGTGATAGTCACAAGCCCGCAAACCTGCTCTTCTACTTAAGAAGCCACCAGTCTTTCCCTCTCTCTCAAATTACACTGTAACGTCATGTGTCCCTAAAGTAAAGCTATGCTCTGTATTTGGTTTCTAAAAGATGCCTCTAAGATATTATTTAAGGTATAATCTAACAGATCTGCCACAAGGTTAGGGCTTTATTTTTCTAGGCTGGAATAGTTCATTACCTACCTATTCAAACAAAGTTGTGATGTCACAGTCCTGGTAAAAAAAAAAAAAGGAGAAACAGACAAGTTAGAAGTTTGTTAACTTGTTTCCTTATTCGGCCTTAGTTTGCGTTATGATGTCCAGACGCCGTCACCAGTGAAACAGACATATGGGGTCTGTTCGGACGTCGTATTGGGCTGCCCGGCTGCTGTGGCTGTACCTGCGTAAGTCACCTACGCTTCCCCCAGCTGGCGGCCGAGACGGCAGCTTGCAGGTCGTAATTTGTGATGTGAGCAAGTAAGTCTGCGTTAAGCCGTGGCAGCTATCATCGTGCTTACGTCCACCTCTGATAAGAGGTGCTTAGCGTGACTCACTCCTGCTGCCCTACATCCATCTGTTTACCTTCGTCACTAGTTGCTTGTTAACGGTGGCGAGTGTCCAAGCGGGTCCACCTCCACAGAATATCCCAGATACCTTAAATATGTGTTGGGTTTTCTAAATGATCTACCAGGTGGATCACTGCTTTTGGCCAAATCCAAATAAAACCTTCACCTCAAGGTGAATTAAAGGCCCAGATCAATGAGACAGAAGAGGAGGGTAAACACCTTTATTTCTTCCTATGAGTCATAACTTGAGCAAATAAAGGAAGAATACTCTGTATATAAAAGATAAAAAATATGAATGTACGAATAAAAAATACTAGAGGATCATTTTTGTCATAATGCTGCCACTCAGTGGCTGGTTAGAGAACTTCAGGCACATAGTTCAGTCCATTTGTTGGGGCAGAAGTGGACAGAGGATGGACTTTAGAGGGGTTGAAGCCATTCTGGTCAGGGCAGCCAATAACTGGACCTCCATCCATGTCAGCGAAGTGATGTTGGTCTCATCTGCACAGTCAGTTGCCCCCCCCCCCCCCCTTCTTTGGTTGATTATACATTCGAAGAGGCGAGGCAGGGGGTGTCGGGAGGGGAGTAGAAGTCGCAGAAGCCCTCCTCGGACAGGTGTCCGTACTCGTTGTTGTAGAAGGTCTGTCCAGACAGCTGGCTGAAGAAGTGGGGGCGGTGCCTGGAGCCGTCGCTGCCCCCCGTGTGGCCCGTGGGGCCGTGGGCGGCCGTCAGAGGCTCGGTGCTGCTGGTGCTGCTCATACGACTGGGGACGGGAAGCAAACGGAGGCTTTCAGCGTTACTGACACACACCTCAGGCTGATGGATGCACAGTCTGCTGCCGGGAGGCTTTTTTTTTTGGGGGGACGGGATGATAGCATTCATTTTTCATCCTCGACAGAAGGAAAGTTTGAACCCGAGTAACACTCATCTGTGTTGCAGGTCTCATCAGGATAAATGAGTTGCTTTTATCTTGGAGCAGAAGTTACTTCATTAGGGCTCTGGTATATCTCATTTGACAAACGTTGGATTAATGACTCAGTGCTGTCTACCTACTTGTGCAGACTAAGGCTCCACTGATCCTTATTTCCTTTATAAATCAACTTTTACTACACAAGTTCCACAATACAAAGAATGACTGTCTCCCGCTTACGGAAACACGTATTTAAAAGCATCGTCTGCTCACATGTCTGGATCGGCTGAGATTTGCCGTGTAGCTCCTGTGAGGAATCGGCTTCAACCACTAACTAAATAACTGTCTGCGCAGTGGACTGTGTGTCACATAAAGCGAGCAACAAAGATCAGGGCGTGTGTTTAATTAACCTTTTCAGGATGGTGCCCGTGTGGTTGTGCTCGATTCTCTCGAACTCTTCCGAGGCCAGAACCATCCCGCTGTCAGTCTGATTGTCCTGGGAGGAGACACAGTTTGACATCATGCCCGTTTCGGCCAAAGCCATCTATTTTTTTGGTAATTGTCAGATGGGAAAATCCCCAAAGCTCAAACTCGTCCAAAAATAAGAAGAAAAAAATGTCACCAGTTCACAGTTTTGACAGGTGATAAGAGGATAAAGAGCTTACTTGAGGAGTTTTGTGTGGATGCATCTCCAGGGGCAGTTCTTCAAATGTCTTCACTCTGGGCTGGCACATTTTGGAGGGTCCCACAAATACACAGCCGGCAAAGGGCACGCAGTTATAATACCTGGTGAAGGGTTAGAGAGGAGATTATCAGATAAACGCATGATCCAATTTCAAATAAAAGCCAAGACAAAGTCCTGACTGACATTTACAAAATACATCTCAGACCTTTCTTCAGGTCATTAATCAGACATGAAACAATTAAAACATACCCCCCTCCCCCTTCTTTTAGGTGTCTTGGATACAACTCTGGTCAGAGCAGAGCACAGCCTCAAAAGACTGTTTCCTGGAAATTAGTTCCATCGGTCAGTTTACATCTGAGAGTAAACTGAGGTCATTTTTCCCCTACTCACACAGAAGTGAGCACAGTTATTTTTGTGGGCATTACATCACAAAATGGAATAAGCAGCCTCACCAGCCATATAACCATGCTTACAGTTAGGATTGCATATTGCAGCCGATAAACTCGGGCTAAACAGACTAAGTGGAAGATGATTGTGATAAGAAGAAAAAAACTACACATATTCTGAAACTTTTTTTTGTACAACTGTTTCCTCTTTATATGTAGTTACATTACAATTTGACCCTTTTATGATGATCTGTTGTAGTTTAATTCAAGTTAATATAATACACATGGGTTTTTGTCTGCTTTGTTTTGTACAAGTGGGTAATTGTAGCTTTGGTAAAGTCGGAAACAGTTGGATTTCCATATAATTTCTACTAGTGAGTGATTATTACGAATGTCCTACTTTCCATTCTTTATGCTAATTACTGAGAGCAAGTAATTATTTCTAAGACTAATAGCGAAGGGGTCAGCGCTGAGAAATTGCAGAATTAAGTGCAGGTGCAAGCTGTTTTGTGTGCATAGTCCTCGTTTTTCTTATAGATAAATTGACTTATTCCACAGATCAATGTGTTACAACTGGTTTGAAGGGATTTGAGATTTTAAAGCACAAGCAAAATCAATGCAAAATAGATTTTTCTAAGAACCTGTCAAGGCACAGGTCATAAATACATTTTTTTTCACTCGATCATTATGACAAAAAGTTTGTATATAAGGCTGAAAGAGCATAACTATTTGTATTTTCTCCATTGACTTAATCCAAAATTAATCTTGCAGTGAAGAACTTTACCTTTTAATTCAGCTGTGCCAACATCACTTATGCTTATTTGTTGATTTTTCTTATTTTTTTCATATAAATAAAAAAAACAACCACCAGATAAAGGGGGTGGGGGGGTCTTCGACATTCATATTTTGAAGGACAGGAAGAGGATGCATCTGTACCTTGCGGGCAAAGTGTTGCAAGCCAGCCTCAGCTCTTCCTCAGAAGCAGGACGTGATGAAGCCTGTGAGAATCCGTCATCTTCAGAGTTCTGGGAGTGATTCAGGGGGATGTAATCCTTTCCATCCTGTCAGGGGACGACAAAAGTGTCAACTCCCGGAACAACCCTGGTCATTTTGTCCTGTGAGGATGGATTTTTGCAGTCGTTCCCTCCCCGCTGAAACTTACAGGTAGGCTGTTGTCCTGCAGCAGGTCCCCCAGGATCTGAACCAGAGCGGGAAACGTCGGCCTCTCTTTGGGCTCGCCCTGCCAGCAGGCCAGCATGATGCCGTATCTACCAGAAGAGGGCAGCGCGGTCACAAGAGCCACAAATTCATTACCCAAATGACCAATTTGGTCCCCTTTCATTTTCTCAGTGTGGGTGTCAGCTCAATGACAGGAGAAATTATCTCTTGGAACTGGCTTGGTAATGTAAAATGATTTAGTATTATGAGTCCTATTTGATAGCAAAAGCCAATTTTTATTTCTCAGACTTTGAAGAGAAAGGGAGAAAAAAATGTACATTTCAGGGGATGCAGTCTCTGGTGCTCTCATCCTCACGCCGTCTTTCAGCCGTTTACAGAAGTCCTCATCAATCTGCACTCCTGGGTAGGGAGATGCTCCTGAGGGTTCACAAAAGGGGGGATACATTAGTCTGCAGGGAGGTATTTGCTGAGGTTGCAACAGCTAAAACAGAATAGAGTCCTAATCGTGTTTGTCAGAAACAGACATTGTAAGACACCTCCAAACACAGTGCTCACAGATAGTTATAAAGAATTATGCCTTTCATAACCAGACAGATGACTGACTTCAAAAAGACAAACGTGCTCTGGCTCTGAAGTTACCGAGTGAAAAGATTTCCCAGAGGAGCACTCCGAACGACCACACATCACTCTGGCTGGTGTACACTTTGTCGAAGATGCTCTCTGGAGCCATCCACTTTAACGGCAGACGAGCCTGAGAGACGATCAAAACACCAGATAACAGATAACGCACGACAAGGAGAAACAGTGCCTCGTTAAATGTAATCACGGCGTGGGTGGCTTGAAAATAAGAAAACAAAACTAGTTTGATTTCACCCCCGAGGTGGATGGCTGCAGAAATCTGGGACTTAACCTCGTGACGAGGTGAGTGTTTGTGTGTGAAAGCGTACATTGCCTTTCCTGACGTAGTCGGGGTCTTTGTATATGTCTCTGGCCAAACCAAAGTCACAGATCTTCACGATGTTGTTCTCCGACAGGAGAATGTTCCGGGCCGCCAGGTCTCGGTGGATACACTGTTGGTACACACCCACACACACACGCATCACTACCCTGCAGACAGCCGTTTGTGTTTGACTGCATTGCATAAACTTTCTTTCCTCGCGAGCGCATATTAAATAGCATTTGGAGGCAACAAATGGCATCCCCGCTATTTCCCAATCAGTCGCTTTAGAGTGCGAGTGTGTTTGTCTTTTGTGAGTGTGTGTCTCTGTTATGTCACCGCTCTGTGAAGTCTCCACAGGGGTCCAATATCTTGCTCTGAGCTGTCACATAAATGTGAATTTGAGCTTGCGAGTGGTTCGAGGAAGTCATTTAAAGCCAATACGCCTGCTTAAAGTCTAACTCTGATTCTCATTAGCAGTAATGGCTTCTGTTAATGTCATCATTCATCCAGTCACACAGAAACTCGTCTGAGCTGGACTGTAGCAGGTTGTGCACCTCACTCACCGTGTAACTGTTTATATATATATATTTATAGTTTTTTAATCAAACTCATGGACAATTCGTTTGTAAAATACATTTTGACATAGACTGACAGCACAGGAAATGATGGGAACATCCAATTTAAAAAGGACAGTTTGCTAAATCTCTCCAATTGGAGAATTATGGTAAAAATATATTGATGCAATCAAAATGTGTTGAATTCAAATACACTTCATGTGAAAGTTAGGTTTAAATTAGACATCAACACTATTTAATTCAGTTTGAATTAGTATGTAACTTTAATAGCTATCATTATGTCAATTTCAGTTTTTTTTTTTGGGAAATCTGCAATTCAATCTTACCAGTTTAAATCTTATTCTTATGAACACGTTGTGATTCTTACATTATGTACCGTCCATTAATGCTCATGAACATAACAATTCTGTGATATATTGTCTTTTCTATTCATCATAAATGGATTTTTCTCATGAAAGTTACTCTGCTAATTAAAACCTTTAATAAAGTCAAATGACTTATTAATGAGTAGAATATATTGCTAGCAACTAACCTGCAAATACACATACAATAATTATAACTTTACAAAATACTCAGTGTACAACGTTTTAAAACATTAAAAGACTGGGTCAACTCTTATTTAAAAGCTATTCAGTTTAGTTTTTTTTTTTATGAAGAACTTTGGAATATAAGTAAGCATAACCAGAAAGATGCATTTAAGACTTTCTTACTTTAGGCAGAGAAAGTTTCAATTTACATTTTTTCATTGTTGTATCAGTCTGCAGCAACAAACTGGCTGATGATGTCAAAACAAATTATAGAATTTTAAGAGATGATCTACAGAAACATGAGATGTTTTTACTCTGAAATGACTGTGTAGTTGCTGAAACTTGGTTTAATCAGTTTAATAACTCATTTGTGCCCTAACATTAGTACTTTGTTCAAAAGCAACATATTTCAGTGTTATTATCATTACAGTTGAAATGAAAGCCTCTTGTAGATAGTTCATTGGCTCTCTCACATGTCCCCGTAGGCCTCATTCAGAATAATGTTTGACCTTTCAGAACAACAATGGACTTGCTGGAATGTGCCAACATTTGGGAGAGACAGTAACATGCATAATAAGGCATGATGAGACATGAAACTGCCAACAAATATTTGATTTTGACTTAATTACAAAATTATTCTTCCTCTATTATTTATTTTCAAAAGACATAAATGTTTGGTGGACATGAATTGTGGACGTTTTGTTTCTTTGTAGAATCCATAAACAGCACATGCATAGCGTTCGTGTGGAGGAGGATTGCTTTGCAAACTGCTGCTTAATAGTCCAGAATTAGAATAGAATTAAACTGTGTTACCCTTGAGACGGACAAACTGAATGATGCATGGACTGCAGTTGCTGTGAACAAACTAGCCAGACTGCGAGACAACAAACTCTGGAGCACAAACCGCAGCCGACCCCCGTTAGAGCGATCCGCGCCCTGACCCGCCGCAACAGCTGCTTTGCTAATTGCTGACAGTAGTGGTGAAAATGAACCTTTCTGGAGGCCAGGAACTCCATCCCCCGAGCCACCTGGAAGCTGTAGCAAATTAAATCCTCTATCGTCAGCGGGGTTTTCCACAGGTCCTCCACTGGAGAGGGAACAGGAGGTCACAAAAGAAAACAACACAAAACAAGATTTCCATTGTTGAACCGCCAGTGAAATAATTCACTGTGACTCACTTTTCTCTGCCGGGGGATTCTGGTCGGGCGCCTTGGACATTACAGTCTGAGGACTGCTGAGAGGGGAGAGGGATGTACAGGGTGGCTGCTGGACTCTTTGGTCCCCCTGACCTGCTTCAATCATCCGCCTCACTTGGCTCTGAGTTTTGGGAGAGCGGTCCTAAAAGGGAAACTGTCTGATGCATCATCTCCACAATCAATACAAAACAAAAATGTTACCAAATCCATGTGTCAGGGTTAACAGAATTTCTTAGCACAAATCACATCAAGGATACGAAGCAATATCAGAAATGTGGGCTTAAATACGTTAAGAATGAAAAAGGGACTCTTTCCAAAGACATTACTCTCGAACAAATATGAAAGTATGGAGACTGGATCAGGTTCTGATGTCTTTCCATACCCTGTAGGGAAGGAAGAACTCTCTCTTGGCTCGCAGGAAGTTGGAAAGATTCCCATACTTGCAGTATTCCACGATCACCATCAGCGGACCTGGTGATGCAGATGTTTCACATATCAGCTCTCCTCTTTTGTTGAAAGAAATGACATATGAAAAGCCTCCAGCTGTGCCGGCACACATTGCTTAATAAACCGTGACAGCGATCTCTGCCTTGTGTTTGGGAGCACACTCTGTCTTTCCTCCCACCGTTTTCAGAATAGCACAGGTCTGCATTTCAACTGGAGCGTTTCCTGTCTGAGATAAGCTGCCTGGTTGCTTTTATGTAGGATAAACATGTTCACATGTAACTATAAAAAAAAGTGCTCTGCAGGTCAAATCCATGTATAGGTTTAAACAAAAGGCATCTGTTCTACCTCTCTTTTGGGTAGCTTGTTATGAAAGAGATGAACACACCACAGGGGGTGGAAAAAGATTATGTAAACACTTTACATAAAGAGGAATTACGCTCATAAAAACCCAAAAGAGAAACTGTACATTTAGGGACCGAGGGAGTCATAATGTGTAACAATATCTTGAAATTGTGAACACATATTTCACAGAGTAGGAAATCCTATTAAAGTCACACGACAACTGATCCAATTTTTCTTTTCTGGTGCGCGCGTAATTTTATCCATGCATTGAAATAGCAGAATATGTTCATTCATTCAGTCTGTTTTGAATGCATGATTCTCCCTCTCCCAACGGCGTTTGATTTCAAATCTTACATCATAGTGGGAACCATGCAAATCTGTTTACTCACCGTTTGGTTTGGTGCAAGCCCCCAACAGGTTCACGACGTTCAGATGGTTACCGATGTGAATCAGAATCTTTAACTCTGACATCAAGGCCTTGTGTTCACTGGCCGTGGAACCATCTTTAAAACACACAAAAACAATGACTCATACTTATTAAACAGTTACGAGAAAAGGTTTGGAAGCCATTTACAATTTTGAGAATTTCTATAGTTGCGGATAATATGTGACAAACGGAGACACAATTTGACATAAATAACATACACACAGCCTTACTTTGTAAACACTGAGCACTATTTTTATGCCTGCTTCAAAACATTATCAACAAGACTCATGCATGCATTAGGTGACTCTGAATTCATGGCTTCCTCAAATACTCAAATAGATTCAAGCTTTGTGGCACTTCTGCACCATTCTGCTCAGTTCCATTCTGTTTGCCTGATAAATACAGCATGGTTTATCCTTGGCAAATGGTTAAACTTCCTTCTAATCTGTCCCATTTGCTTCATATAAAGGAAGGACATTGGATCTGAAAAACAAAGCCTGCCTAGATGGTCCTTGGACATGTATTCTATGTAAAGACCAGCAGGTGGCAGCTCCTTCCGCCACTAAAAGCAGTTTGTAGATTTAAAGAATTTCATATGATCCCTGTAAGATTAGAATACATAATAAAGCAGCATAAGCTTTAGTGTGTGGCTGCCTTGTGCTGACTGACAGAGATGTGTAATTGCAGCATTTTTGTTAGGGACACCTTTTTGTAATCAATTTTCTTAGTGGGACAAGATAGCAAAACTTAAAATGCTCAATTTATTACTTTAAAACTCTAGTCAAGTAGCCACCAGGTAACATCTGTAAGACTACATGTTTACTCCATTTACATTTTTTCTCTAGATTGTCTTTTTATTGGATTTTGCACAGCAGCAGATATGATGTTTGTTTTCTTGTTTTGTTTGTTTTTTTGTCTAGCCAAACTTTTTGGCTTAAGGAATGATTTGGGTCAACATTTCTTCAGTAGATTTTGTGAGTCATCAGCCTTTATTTATAGAAGAGTTAAACTCCTCAATGAATCAAATCTATCTGGAGCCCCTACTCAAAGTATATTTTGGTGAAGTTGTTAGTACAGAATGTGATTTATTCAATAAATTAATTATGACTCAGTTGAATATTAAAGCCACTTTTATGGGTAATTCATTCACTTCTAAAAAGTAATATGTAACAGGATAATTTTGCTATTTAGAATAGTTTAGAGTGAGATCAAATCTATTCACTCCATTTTATCCAGCAGAGTTTGTGTAAAAGTATGCACATAGAATAGATAAACAAAACAAATCTCACCTTTCAGCATCTTGACAGCCACTGTGTCCAAACTGTTGCTCTTGTTGATGCCATAAATGGACGCTTCAATTACTTTTCCAAAGGCACCATGGCCTAATACCTTTCCTGTGTCATGAGAAAGCAGAGGAAAGAGTAATTATCCAGATTGGTTTTGGTCTCCCGGGACTACGTGAACAGTTTTGATTGGACACATTTGCAAAACATAAATGCACACAAATCCCACACGGTCAGGGAAGAGGAATTAGAATATCAATTGCAGCATTTTGGAAAACAACATGTTTCCATAAGCTGCTGTGGTGAAACATTTGCTTTTCCTCTGGGTGTTTTTTTAACGGCTGTTCAGGGAATGAACACATATTTAGCATTAGCACTCCACTTGGCAGCACTCTACACATTTGGCTGGAATCCAAACTCAAGCTATTATGATTCTGGAAATGGAAACATAATTTAGTTTCATCCATTTATCTCATCTATCTATCTATATTTAGAAAAGATATCTATCTCTTTCTATCAATCTCATCCATCTCTGTATATATCTTCACACACTCATACACATCTCCATCTAATATGCCCTTTCAAAACCTTTTGACTACCCCACTTTTCCTAGCTGCTCACCCAGTTGAAGTCTGTCTCTTGAGATCTCCCACTGTGAAGAGTCATAGGGCAGGTATTCACACTGTTCATCTAGTGGCACCTCCCCCGGGTCCATTATGATTGATAGATAGCCTGTTTTGATGTCTGCTGGGTTAACCTGTCGTTCAGAGAGACAGGGTTTAGCGTAGGCTGAAGATTTGAGAGATGTGAATAGGTTAAATAGCAGTGAATCCGGCAAAGGAAGCCCTGGAGGAGCTCAGATATGAGACAGAGCAGAAAAGGTAAAGCCGAAAGCAACAAGTAGTAATCCTTTTACTTTGTTCTGTTTGATGGGTAGAAACCCACACAATTATCAAATATATATATATATATATATATATATATACACACACACATCAATTCCTTTTTGGATGTAGTCACTCTAAATCAAACTATTGGCCTATTGGAACGGAAAATTATACTCTATACATCAAGGCACTCGAAAGCTTCTCCTGCTCATTTTCAATTAACTTTTATAGAATAATCTCGGAGCACTCGATACACTGCAGAAAAATGATTTAGACAGGCCTTTTAAAGGCAATAAGTTGAAGGACGGTGATCTCCTTTTGATTAAGCTTGTTTCAGAAGTTCTAAACGTCTCTGAGAGCACAACTGTTTGTTATTTTTGCCACATAAAAACAGACCTACAAAAGCAGTTCTAAATGTTAGAAAAAGATTACAATATCATACATTAGAGTATAAGACTGCCCTCCTTTATCTAATTAGTTAATGACAGCAACACCCTGCTAATTGCTCCAAATATGAGAAATGACTCTGGGGGCCTCTGGAGCTTTGTTACAAAGATTCTTTCCAAAGATCTCATAGCTGTAAATGACTCATTTGACTTCACTTAAGCTGATGTCAGCAGTGGGAATTTCACACCCTCTGGAAATTTCAACCAGTTTTGATATCCAGACATGCTGGATGTCAGAGGTCAGGGTGCGTCTATCACAGACTCTCTGTTCCTCTCACAAACAGACAAGCAGAAGGTGAAAAGTGGTGCCCCCTGACCCGTTTCACGTTGCAGAAGATGAGGATGAGCAAGGCCCAGAAGAAGACAGCGATCACTCCAGTCCCAATCAGTATGACTATCTCCACGTTGGCCTTGTCACTTGAACCTTAACACAAAGAAAAAAGGAAAGAAAGAACATCACTTATATTCTCAAAATCCATTAAAACAACGCAAAACCCTCTCCATTCTATCAGTGGTCCTGTTTTGTACCACATACAGAGGGTGCTGTATCACAAAATATTTGCCCCGATGCCTTAAATCTTGCGCAGGAATCAATGTGCTCAGCAGACATTTACTCATTTCAGCCATTTGTCATCAAGCTGCTTCCAGCAAAGCCATTCAATTATTCTCTCTGAATACAGAATGTCCGAGCGGCCAATGAATTTGATTCGATCGGAAAATACCGTATGCAACCATAAGCGCAACTTCAGCTGCAGCGAAATCGGAGTGTCCGCCATTACATGACCTTAAGGGCAACTGTGATTTCAGGCCTGAGTGAGCCGCCCGCATGGATGTGTGCCTGCTCACCAATGACCCTGATGGCTGCCGAGGAGTGGACACAGCCTCGCTTGTTGCAGGCGGTGCAGGTGTAAACTCCAGCATCCTCCTCTGTGACTCGCTGGATGCTGAGCGTGCGGTTTGAGTCTTGCAGCTGGACACCTGTGGGGGACTTTAGCGATTAGTGACACACACTCTGCCAAACCTCAACTTTTTCATAGTAAATTCAGCATCATTTTCCACATTTCTTTGGATTATTGCACACTTGTTGAGCTTTTTTCTATTATTCCATCATCCTGTGTTCCAGGGCTTAAGTACCAGCGCCCTAACAGGTGAACCCAGAGCTACAGCTATCACTAAGAACCCCTTCTACCCAAGTACGCCCCCTCATCTCCGTCAGATGTTCAGAAAAGTTGCACACTTAGAAAGGTAATGAGCGGTGTCTGTTGGCCGGCAGGATTGTCTGCCAGTTTTTGGGTGTGCAGGAAATTCTACACAAAGATTTGTGTTTTTGTTCCTTGTGAGAGATTTCTGGAATAGCATAAGTGTTGGGTTGGTTGTGTAGCGATGTGTGTTCCCATGTTGTTTTTCATTAGTTGTACTGATATCTATCATAATGAACTGCAACATCTACTCAAAGTGACCGAGTACATTTTTACTAGAATATATTTTTTTTTGTTCTTTTATCAAGTTTTTCGACATTTTTTTACTCTTTTTATTTTTTAATGAAGTGGAATTAACAGGCAAAACACAAGCACACTAATGGAGTCCTTCAAGGTTAAACACTGAGTTACTGCGAGCGTGTGGGAGTTTCTGTCTGCATATGTGGTTAGGAAGTCGGCAGGTGGGCTGCAGCCCCGTTGAGCAAATGTGTGTATGACCCGTGTAGGTGTGTTTATTCACCTGACATTTGGTGGAGAGGCTGGTTGTCTTTGAACCAGGAGAGATGGGGAAGAGGTCGGCCCTCCGCGTCGCACTCCATCCGCAGAGACTCGGTCACGTTCACAGTCTGGTTGGTGAGGCTGCGCCTATACCGCGGCGCCTCCAGGGCTACAGATGGAGGCAGAAAATCAGGAGGGGGGGGGGGGAGTATGCTGACCCCTGCAGTTTGTCTGATCTGATGAGATATGCTCTACCCTTGGAGTGTAAATGTGTACGATATGAGTAAAAGCCAAAAAGCCTGTAAGGATCGAAAAAGGTTCGGAATTGGGGAAAAAAAATTACACCACTAAAATGTGCATCTGGCACTGGTGCAAGGTTACACAACACGAGTGAAGCATGAAATTGCTTGTGCATATCTGTCTTGAAGCTTCTTCTTGATTTTCTGCCAAGACATATCTATGTTTTTAAAAAAACAAAAAAACACCAGGACCTCTCTCCATTATGTTTGGACGTGATGTGGATACCGGGCTGCGTGGGCACCTGTTTGTGAGTGTGTGTAATTGTAAGCCCCCGGCATCTCAGCACTGGCTCCACGGCTGTGACCTGTGTGCGTTTCCATGGCTGGAGCTCCGGCCCTGCTTTCTAATTACCCGTGGTAAAAGGGACTATTTTCGTTGCAGGGTGTTATGTGTAACTCTGTCTGGCGCTTTCATCTCTAGCTTCCCCTCACCTTTGACAGAGATGTATCTGAGCAGGCACTGTTTCTCCTTCTTGTTCCTGCTCTGAGCCTTGCACACGTAATGTCCCTCGTCCGGGAGCCGAATAGATTCGATGGTGAAGTCCAAGATGCGGCTGTTGGAGTGCTCCTGGATGGAGGACTGGCCCTGAAGTGGTGTGGCGTTCAGGTGCACGTTCCCACAGTCCAGCTCTTGTGGCTTGCCCTGCGGGTCCAACAGGGCTCGGGGGTCGAGGCGGTACCACTGCAGCTCATCGTAGAAGCAGTTGTCAGCTTTGCAGCGCAAAGACACTTTCTCCTGCTCCAGGGGATTTTCAGATGGATGGACATCCACACCCAAGCCATCTGGGATGGCTGTAAGAATAACAAAGTACAGCTTCAAGATGTACACTGATGAAATGTACCCCATCACAGATAAATAGATCCAAATACACTGAATAATGAAAGATATGGAGCAGGTTCTTGGATAACGCCAACTGGAATGGAGCAGTAAAGAATTGGTGACTGCACCAGTCTCTGTTTGGGACAGTCCATTGAAATATTTGTGAGCAAAGTGCTATTCATGGTGCTTAATGAGACAAACCTCTGGGAAAAATTCATTCTTGGTCACATGAGGACGGTTGCTCTGGCACAGATGTGTTATCAGACAGTAAAAGTGGACATGTCTATGCAGAACTCTTTGTAGAGTGGTTTCTTTAACATCAGGTTGTATTTTGAATGTTACAGATACAGTCCATGCTAATTCCAGAAGAGATAAATGATTTTCTAAATGAGACGTTCCAAAGATTAGCATCCTTGTCGAGTTATATCAAATTCTGTTTTTGAAGGTTTTGGGTTTCAAATCGGGACCCCTAAACCTGATGGGCCCTGGTGTGGTAACAGAGAAGGTCTTGCATTAATGCCTACCCAATCTTTAATCTAAGGGAGGTTTGTGGTGGCTGGGAGAACCACACATTCCATTCAGCTCTTTAGAGTGAAGGCAAAAACCTCATGTATAAATACTGTATTGGGGCTTATTCAAATCACACCAAAACTATTTACTTAGTGGGATATTGCAAAAACCAAATACAGAGTCTTGTGTTTGTGTAAGATGTGGCCGGATAAACTTACTGGTTACATAAAAGTTGATCAGTCGCTCGTCTCTGCCCACTTTGTTTTCAGCAGTGCACTTGTACATGACGGAAACACTGGCATTGTGAATGTGAAGCCTGCTTACTATCTGTAGGTGAGAAAAAGGAGAACGAGAGGTGAATTCCCTTGGAAGGGGGAAAGGCGTGCCAATTCCATAAGGCATGGAAGTTGGCTGTTATGGAATTCTTTGAGAGTTGACACAAACTAGATTTACTGCTCAGGTGTGACTGAAAAAAATTGGATATTTGAATGTGCAAGCATGTGTATGATTGTGATGATTTCCTCCTGTGGAAGAGGCTTATTAATGCTCAGGCATGTACATGTGCCCCTCATGTGTGTGTCTGAATGTGTTTATAACTAATCCTTGCAGGAAGTCTGCAGAGGAAGACCATTCTAAATATTTCTGCAGAGGAAATGGTTCTCGATTGACAAATTCTGTTATGGAGCTCAGAATTTGGGACGCTTACATAAAAACATCACAGTTCAGGGATGAGTCTTCTTACATAAATATAATCTTTTCTGGGTTTTGTCCAAATCATACCCCGTTTCTTTTTGTCTGTGTTCAAGTAGACATATCGGGATTAAAAAGCCCATTAAAAAGCCGGTCTTTGCCAAGAAAAACACTTAAAACAATACGTTTTGATTAACCTTTTCCTGATTGTTCACCACTGCAACAGACGTTTCGATAGATTCAATTTCATTCATGTCGTTTTGTGAGTAAATGTCCTGCCAGCTCTGACTGTCTGTGATCCCGTCACTCCAGTCCTTCCTGTCTTGTTGGGCCCTGGAGAGAAGCACAGACACATGGATGACATCCCCTCTCATTGATATGTACAGCGGACAGTAGGCAAGAATTCAATAACACATCAAACCGCATCCTGGGGTTTAAGAAAAGAAAAAATAACTATTTTTTTCCCAACACATGGAAACACTTTTCAGTTCAGTTCAGCCTGCATCCCAATGCCTAGCAACTAATAGAAAAACCTCCATTTCTTTTATGATAATCCACAGTGTGAAAATCATAGGAGAGTTAATGAACCATAAAACTGAAAATTATTTTGCATTCTTGCCTGAAGGCAACTTTCATACAGAAGGAGAAGGTAATGAGGACTTAGTTTAACCTAACATAACCCATCTAGGAAATATATATATAGATGTATATGTAATAAAGTAATAAATACTGCAATTTTGTCATGCTATCTTTTTAACATTTTACCTGCATAGAGTTAACACAACTAAAAATGTTCTGATCAACACCACAACTAAAATTCATAAGGGTCCAAACAGACCACTGGTCAACCTCATCGTATAGTACTTACAATGTGTTAAACTTTACTGGCTCAGAGGAACCAAAATAAGACCTGTATATATGCACAGATTAAAAAGGAAAATTCTAATCTGGTGAACAGGAAAATGTCCACATTATGTATTGGATATCGTGAAATTTCGCCTCAGAGGCAGAGCGGATGTGAAAACGCATGAGCCAGGTAGCCTGATGGTGTTTGTTTGTTTCAAAGTGCACAGTCTGAGGTACATGCTGGGAGTGGTGAGAGCCTGCAAGCATACCCACAGAGAAAGGTCAGTGCAGCTATGGATTAGAAAATTAAGCCTAGGGGGAACATGGTGGGAGGTGACTGTTAGAAGCATATTCAGCAGAAAAAGCCACAACACCGAGGCTTACAGAAATAGGGAAAAGGTTAACATGGTTGTTCAAAGAATCCAGCAAGTCATGCTGTGCTTTTTTGAAGAGAAAAAGTAAAGACTAAAAGCCTTGTGCTTAGCGCTCAGAGTTTGTCTTCAAGTCTGCATTTCTGCGTGTGTGTGTAGAGCACCCCGATGGGCACGCACACACCCGTGTGGTCTATGTGCATCTATGACACAGAAGCGAGCCTACTGGTGTACATGTGTGCGGTGTCTGTGTGTTTATGTGTTCACTCCTGCTTGTCCGTGGGTGACACGGCTGAGTGAGTCGGGCCACGGCCGCTGAGGAGTCGCAGTCACATCATTACTGCCACCGGGAGGAAGCGGGTTCCACTTCTATCCTTTCAACCCCTGCCTGCAACTTCAAGTCCACAGTTTCCATCGATCTCCACTTGTGTTTCCTCTTCTCCACCTCTTTCTTTCTTTTATCATTCTCTTTTTCCCTCTGAGCCAGTGGATTATTTCACACCCACCCGTTCTTTTTAAACTTGTTTTGTCTCACGTAACTTACCACCCACTGCATGTCGATTATTTCCTCTTTTCTACCCTGTTCATTCCAAGATCCAAAATAGTACAAAAATGTCCTCTCAATAAATAGGCGGGCCAAAAGTATTTCTTACGGTCGACTTTGCGAGCTGTTGAGAACGCAGGAACCATCGGAGGCCCTCCACTGCCAGGTGATGTTTGGAGCAGGGAGTCCATAGGCAGTACATGTTAACGTCTGGCTGTTGCTGCTGAGGTAAGGACTGGAGTGATCGGTCACCTCTTTCTCATGAATATGAGGGGGGACTACGGGGGAAAAAAAGAGATATCTGATTAGTTTTCTGCTCTCTTTATGAAAGAAATACCCTGTTACTAACACATTGTTGAGAGATGTATTAAGAAAATGATAAAACTGTAGAAAGAACAAAGCATCTTTGTTTTGTTCCTATTGTCTTATTTTCTGATTCAAACAAGATCACACTACACTGTATGTGAAAAAACAATCAGCACAGAATTCTCTGCTGTCATTAATAATGGCCATTCAAATTAATGTAAAAACTGTATTCAGAGGGAGAAGACGGGGATTTCATAACATAGTGGAACATATAATTATATTCATAGCAGATTTCCACTTTGGTTTGGTCTGTGTATCCTTTTATAGTTTGTCTTGATCCACTTTCAGAAGATTCAGATGTTTAATCTGTCCATGTAAAACTAAGATGATGAAACTCAAGTGTAAATGCTTTCTTTGTGATGCAGCCATGATTAAGCTACATTTTGTCTGAGCATTTTTGTATTTTCTAAGGCTGCCTGAGAGCAGTTTTGAATTCTTAGACGATGTATGACTTTGTTAGAAAATTGGCCATAAGTAAAGGTTCTGTGGGGAAAATTACCTTCAGAAATAACAGCCAGTAAATGTGTGTGAATAGTTTCAACACCTGAAAATTTACTGTATAATAATGTGATTAAAAGTGAAGTGAAGACTGTAAAAACACTGTTTGCTACGGCAGCAGGCGACCGTCCAAAGTCACTGTAAACTGTTTGAGTTCAAGTGAGACATCAATTTTCAGTTTCAGTCATGTGTAAAGTTTGATTTGCAAAACGCATGGCAGTTGTTGCCTAATCAATTTTATTTGAGTTATCAATCCCAGTCTGGTCATATATGAATGTCATTCTTGAAACCTGCTTTAAAAAGTTAATTTTATGCTACATTAGTTTATTTCTCCGTATAAAATGTAATGCAATGTGTACATTTTCTCAAAAACATGATGTTCCGGTAACACACCGTCATGCTGCAGCTTCTAGTCTAACGACCTTCTTTGCCTTAGCTCAGGGTAAACAAATATATATGTACCATTGACAACAAGTGTGATGTTTAGCCTCTCCTCCAGCATAGCAGCACTGTTTTTCAGCACCACTGTGTACAACCCAGAATCCGCATGACAAACGTCCTTAATCTCCAGAGAGTGGTTAGAGTGCGTCTCCATCCTTTTCGTGTTTATCAGCACGCCATCTTTATACCTGGACACAAGATACACAACACAAAATGCGCCACTGCTCTGCTGCTCTGCATCTGACTTAATCTCTAAATTGCAGAAATGTTGGTCCTTAATATGCTTTGGAAAATTTCCCAGCCCATTAAAGGAATACACCAAAGAGTCATATCTTACCATTGCGTTTCAGGTGTGGGATAGGCAGACACATTTACTTGTAATATGAAGGACTGGTGGCCATCAGTCACCTCCACCACAGGTCCTTCTGTGTAGTTAAGGCTGATGAATGGCTCACCTGGAATTGAACGTATTCATTTGTTTACCTGAAGTGCCTGTGTCTATTGATTAATAGAGCTTTAGGTCTGAGCATCGAAAAGCGCACATTAACAGACACATACATAAACAAATACATAAACAGATTTACAGTGGTTTCAGAATTTCTGTTGAAAATTAGTAGTTTTCAGTGAAATGTTGAAGTTTACTTTTAATGCCTGGATCTAATCTAGTCATAGCAGCGACAGTTTGACAGCACGTTTTGTTTGTTAAGATAAATGATGTATTTCTCAACATTTCAAAGATGTGTTTCCTAAATGTAAGGCCAGATAAACGAATTACAAAGCTTTGAAAAAAAGAGTGGTGACCATTATATATGTGATACATGAAAAAACAACCCTACATCTAATGTGTTTTGGCTTAATTTCTAACAAACTGATATGAAATTATAAATAATACTTGAAAAATACACATATTAGTATGAAATTAAAAGTCCTCAAAATGGCATCCTGTGATTAAGCCATTATGCTCTTGCTGATTAATGATAATGAAACAAAATGTTAGATTTAAACAGGGAGCTGCATGTCAGCTGGTACTGACTCTATAATCAGAATGTAAAGCCATTTGTCACAGTAAATGAAACGTTTGAAAGCTAGAAAAGTATATATTCAGAAGATTCTATGTTTATCTAACTTTTTGGATGGGAATAACATTGATGAGGTGTAACGGTGTTCTTCAAATGAAACTAAAGTGGGACAGGTTAACTAAAAGAAGTAATCCAGTCAGTAAAACAGAACTTTTGCCCCTCTGCCAATATACACATTTCCAGTTTTCCTTTTACTTCTTAATTTTGAATAGCCAACAAGCCCTTGGCTCACCATGGACCATAACGTGAGTCTGTAGCATCTGCGTTTTCTCCAGGCTGGTAACGTTGCAGATGTACAGCCCAGTGTCTGTGACATTGGCACTGTGGATGGTCAGGATGCTGCCAGCCTCCGTGGCTTGTGACAGAGCCTCTCGATATGGATTAATCTCCACCTGCCTGTTCATCTGGGGAGGGAAAATAAATTGTGTCACCAGACGCATAAAATGTAATCCTCGCTTCAACATCTACACTAAGTACCTTTTTACCAGGGTAGGACCACTGAATGTCCACCCCAGTGTCGAACTCCACCGTTACTGTGCAGTTCAGGGTGAGGGCCTCCCCCACCATTAGCTCCATTGAGTCCTCAGGAAACAGCTTGACATCGTTAACCTGAGTTCCTGTCCAGGAAAAAGAAAAAGGGGGAGGCACACCGCTCATGAGGTCAAAGTGACACTGTCAGCAGTTTTTCCTTCCTAGCAGGGCCAGAGGAAGCGGCTTTCCTCTGGACCAGAGAAGTCATCCCACTATTAAGAAGCTGTCTGTCAGAACCTTGCCTTATTTCTATTCAGACCAGATCCCCCGGGGGAAGGACAGTGAAATCGCAATGAAAGAAATGACAGAAAAATCAAGAAAACCTTTGGCCTCGGCCTGTATAGCCAATAATAATTGACTCATCTCCTTTTGCACTCCCTGGAAATAAAACATGATGGTGATGTCTCTGCTGCACACCGGAGTTGCCCGTTTGTTCTAAACACCCCATTAGCGTTCAGAGTGAGGATTCAGTTTCTGCTCTGAGTGATGTTGCTATTACTTTTAGCCTGCAGCAGTGAGCACGAGTTATCTCTAATCCTAATTTAAAAGAAAAAAAGAAATATATATATATATATGAATGATTTCATATCTCATGCAAAAAGCTGCTGGGTGCTATAAGTTAACTTTCCACAAAAGGACCTTCAGGAAGCAGTTTATTAAGTTAGTCGTTCCTTTCCTTCTTTCTCTTTATTTTTCTTCTAATTCTGCCAGCATAATGGCCCAGATGCAACAACACAAGGGAGTTGCTTTCAAGGAAATGACATAATTAAATAAAGGGCATGGAAAGTCATAATGGTACAATTGGCTGCCGTGCAGCATTATGGTGACAAGGAGGTGGCTTCAGCACCACCTCTGATTTGTAAGCTAATTTATCTTAAATCAGAGTTTCAAATCTAATTTAAAGGAGTGATTCAGGAGTGTTTTTTTTTCTCTCGCTGTTAAAGGTGCCATCTCCTTGTAAAGCTGCTAGATTTCATGAACCTTGTCAGACCACTGGAGACACCATTAATAGTCTGTGGTGTATCTTCACCTGTGGTGTGGAGGATGTAGGCATCGGAGTGGTGCTGTTTGCCTTCCAACGTGGTGACACAAGCGATAATGGTCAGCTGCATATTTTCCAAGAGGTGTGTTGGAATGGACAAGCCCTGCTTGTTGTCCCATTTCATCCCACTCATTTGCACGGCTGTGGGGTACGCTGGAAACATCTAGTGCAATGTAGGGGGGGGTCATACACAGTCATCACCAGCATCAACTGAAACCTTGAACAGGTGTTGTGGAAAGCCGGTGCCCACCGTGTCGAGGGTGACGTTCAGATCAGGCACGGTGACCAGGCAGGGCACGGTGACATGCGTGGAGGAGCGTTTGATGAGCAGAGTCTCCAGGTCGCTCGCGTTGCCGTCGCCGGAGCTGCCTCTCTTGAGAAAGGGCTGCGCCGGGTCTAGATGCAGACAGACACAGCGGGCTGTCAAAGGGTAATTCTGATAGCAGCTCGGGTAATGGCAGCCATTACGGAGGTAACTTTGTCAACGGACAGGCGGATCTCTCACGGCCTGGTAATGACCCCCGTGGACATGCTGTGTGCGAGTCTATCATGATCACCGCTCAGGCTGTCCCCAGCGAGCGACTGAATTAAGAACTGCCATTACATGCCAGCTGAGAGACAGACAGCCCAGGGGTTTAATCCCCCCTGTTACTGCTTCACCTCCAGCTGTCTGTTGGAGAAAAATAGTTCTGCCATGTTTCCATTTTTATTATCTGACACACAGCTACTGAAGCACAGGTGTTTGGAAGACATCACTGTGATTATGCCACTGATATGCACTTTGGCTGGTGCTCATACACACTCTTTTATCACCACGGCAAGAATATTGTGAAAGACAATTCTTGTCTCTCCACTACATCAGACAATACCAGTCATTTTAAACAACATCCAGAGACATTGTCTGACTATAGCCTGCTTGTATTTACTTTCTTTGTCATGATAAGCCTCCTATTCTTTTCATACAAGCACTTAAAGCTATCTCTTAAAGCTGTCCTCAAGCCAAAAAGAGAGATGCTGTTGAGAGTAGCATTTATACATATCAATAGGTAGTCCTGAAGTGGTCTAATTAAATAGAAATCTAAGGAACTAAAGCACAGATCCCTGCTGAATAAGTTTTCAGGATATCACTGTGGGTGTTATCTTACATAAATGTTGAAGTCTCTGACAAACACTGAAAGGAGGTATCAAGGTTGTGAGCCAGATTCATCAGTAAATAAATAAATAGAAGCCTGTCGGTAATATAAAATGAGCACACTTGTGCAAAATCAATTATATTTCAAAACTTATTTCGTCATCATGGATTTTACAAGTTTGATCATTTCAAATTTGACAAGAGAAACCATCTTAAAAAGCATCAAACCGATTGTGATTACCACGAAAAAAGTAAGGAACTGTGTATTGAGTAGACATGTGCACCTGAGATTTTCAGTCTCATTAAGACTAAAGTGATCTGAAATGATCTTTGGATCTATAAACTATCTCTATGTGAATGACAGAATAACAACAGTAAAACAAAATTACAAGAGGAATTTAAAAATGGTTAGACTTTGAGTTAGAAAAGGGACATTTAATGATAAGTTACATACTCCATACAATGGAGTTAGATACTGCATTGTAGCACTAATCAGGATTGCGGAGATCATCCCGACAAGCATTGCCACTGACTTGGCCAATGGGAGGTAGAGTTACCAACAACAGCTCGGACAATGTGATGGAAGGATGCCAAATATACAGTAAGGTCATCAGTACATAAAAGAAAAAAAAAGATTTGACTCTTATGAGTCATGAATGCTTGGCACAAACCTTACAAAAACTATCACGGTGAACACTTAAGGTTTTCTATACAGTCGAGTAAATCGGAGCAATCTTCCGAGGGAGGTAATATGAATCAGACATCTTTCAACTGGCTTGTTTGAGGCAATTAGAGCAGGCTTCTGACTGTTGCCTGAAGGTGGTAGTGATCAGGAAGAGCAGTGGGTGCCCTTCAATCAGAAGGTGGAGGATCTGATCCCTAAGGCCCCCCAAATCAAATGTCAAAGTATTCTTGTCGGTGGTTCTGAACCCTGTATTTCTCATTTATTTCAGATTTGTACGTCATTCTGGACAAAATTAATGCAAAATTAATCAGGGTGAATAGAAATATAAGTTATGCCTCTAAAAGTTCAATTTCAATTCAGTTAAATAAATAAATACTTTGACAGGAGGAAATCAGGAATTAATTCAATTTTTAACTGCCCCTAATGTAAAATAGATTATTTCTTAAGAACTGGTTGTGTTTTACCCTTTTTCAACTAACTTTTTTCAATTTTACTGTCTGCATCCATTATAGTAGGGCATCTGTTGCACCATTTGTGCAAAAATACTGGCGTCTGATCTAGAAACCACACAGTTTCATCAGTTATCCAGGACTGGCATAAACGCTGCTGTGCAGAATATATGATGCATTCAAAGTATTCAGGTCTTATGTGTGGCAGGGTGGTTAATAAACAGCATGCAGCACAGACAGGGTAAATGGCCAACATCTGCCTGTCTAATTGCATCCACATGTGTCCCCTCTCATCCTACCACCCACTGGGTGTAATTTATGACTGTGATTTCATCTGCCTCTGATCAGCCTGTTGGTTAGATCTGTGGAAGTTGTTTTGGCACCTTGTCAGGGAGGACAACCGGGCGTTTCACATGAGTGGTCTGGTCAGCAGGACTCCACTACATGAAAATCATCTGTCCCTCTATCTGCTGTTCCATGTACACCTCTCCCACAGCACCCGGAGCAATGAAAAATAAAGAGGTAGGCCTCACAGTGCTGAAGGAGATCTAAGACGGAGAAATCAAGATGGCTCTAAATCCTAATTCTGACCAGTTACGAAACAAAAAAATATCTAAGTTCCAATCAGATCTAAAGGCCTTGTGACATGGTGGATTACCAAAGAGCTGCTGCTTTGCTTCGCTGTTGAGAAATTCATTAAATATCCTCTCCTGTTTTTCCAAATGCTTTATCAAAAAGACTTTCCAGAACATGATTCATGCCAGCTTCAAGGGAGTCACCGCACCCAGTTCAACAACTTCCATTCCTAATAATGCAGCTGCGGCTTTGCTATTGAAGTCATATTAAAACAGAGGATCTGTTTCAGTGAAGTGGCTGGTGAGCCTCCCAAGGATAACAGAAACAAAAGCTGCATGTTCCACAGAGCTGCAGGCAGGGTCAGAGCAGGCAGGGAGGTGAGACGAGCCACGTCTAAAAGCAAGCTCCAAATGACATTTATGGCATGTCGTTCGTATTATTTTTCATCGCGTGACTCACCTTTGACAAAGACATAAACGCTGATGGCTGTGGTGCCATCGATGATGGACTTGACATCTTTGTAATAGCAGCGGTAGTAGCCCGTGTCTTTGCCCTGGGCCTCATTTAGAAGCAGTGTCTTGCAGTAGGGCCTCTCCGGCTGCCCGGGACACTCTCTGATGAAGACCACCCTCTTCCCAGGCGTCCCGATGGCGTGTCGGTGGTCCTGACGGTCAGTTAGCTCCTGTCCGACCACCCCGCTGTCAGGCCAGGTCCAGGCCAGTGTGCGCTGCCCCCTGGAGACGCATATCAGTGTTTCTTTTCCATAATACATAAGCATCAATGAGACAAATATGCAGTATTTCAGTTTTACAATGAACCTCGACTTTCTGGTTTCTGTATTATTATCAATCCACCAGCTGGTGTCACATGATAACCATAAAAGCTGTTGTTTTTTTGCGCGACTGTGTGTATTTTTTTGTTGTTGTTTGAATTCACATGAAGAGCCACACAACCCTGTTTGCTTTGTGCTGTGTCACATAAATTCAGTTATCTTAACCTGGAGGCAATATGAGCCAGACATGTGGAATCATAATGGCTCTCTGAAAACTGATAGGCGTATTTTCATCACCTGCCCCCTTCGACACAATGAGGCAGAATTTGCAGGCGGTGCCAAAATGTGATGACTGGATATAACATAAAAATGACGGAGCTTAGTGAAAATAGCCTGTGGGTGATTTTCCAGACCTCATGATTAACGTCTATCTGTCTTAAACCTAGAAAAACGGCTCATTGTTGAGTCTTATTTGACTGAAATGAAAATCATACCCCGTCTCAAGAGGTGCTCAATGGTGCTGCTGTGTAAGGTTTACATGCAAACAACTGTTTAAGACCTGAGCTGGGGAAAATCCAAAAGTATCACCAGCTTTCCAAAGACAGCACCCCCCCACCCCCAAAGATACAAACTGGTTAATGGAGTGACAACTTGGCAGTAGAAAGCACAGCTGAGATTTCATGAGGATATTGGAAGATTATTATGAGCAAATTCATATCTCCCAAAGTCTGATCATGTACAATGATGGATAGGTTTCACAGTAAAAAAAAAAGTCTCATGGAGTCAAATGAATGTCGAGACATGAGCAGTGCTTTTATCCGCATAGAGGAAACTTTTGAAAGCAAAGATCTTCATTACTGAAAGCAAGAGTCTGAGTGTGTGCATGTAAATGTCTGCAAAACTTAACAATAGGAGAACATCAATGCCCAGTTGAATTTCATACAATATTAAACCAGCTCACATTTAATTGGCAGATACGTTTTGTGTGGTTTGGAAATGGTGGTGAAAATTTTATTAATTACAGTATCAATTTATAGATAACTTATTTGTTAGTTTATTAGCATATATTTGCAAAATTGTTTTGTGTATTAGTTGGTCTAATTTCCCAGAAGCTCGGTTTCATACAGTTTCAGCCTGACTAGTTAACATGCATTTAAAAGTCTGGTTTTAATTTGGCTCACGCAAGGTTTTTTTTTTTACTTGTCATGTAAATGACCTTACTGACAAGTCATAAATGCAACAAAATGTAATCATATCCCTCTAAATAGCATCTGGATGACGGTCTCTGTATAAAGATTTTTAGATATTAACAGCAATCAGTTTACTTTTAAAGTAATTATTGCATCTCTGAACATTTCAACACTTAAAAAGTGACCTGAAAGCACCAACACCACAATTTCTTGAGGTACACAGGGTTTATTGGGCTTATTGTTATATATTATTTGCTCATTGAAATGAATAACATTTTTAAAGAGTCAAATAGGCTAACATGCATGCAATCCTGAGGCGATGACAATAAGTGTTAGTATTACTCACTATATGACTGTTATTAACATTTATTTCTGGTAAGCATATTTGAGGTACCAATATTAGCAACTAAATTGTTGATAGGTTTGTGAATCATCTAGTGTTCTAAAAACAATTTGAATTTGCGAGTACTCAAATCCAATTTCTAATATTTCTGGGTTTGTCATCATATCTGAATTAATCTCATAGAATCAATTTACATAAACCGAAGCAAATACAACATGTTGCATTCCTTATGATAATGTGCTTTTTTCTTTATATTTCTTTGTGATAATGTGTTTTTCTCTCTCCAGAAAGAACCAGTGGTGAGTCTCACACTCATAACAGCATCAACAGCCATACGTGGGCAGAACAAACACATACCTGCATGTAATAGACAGTGTTCTGTGGACTGGAATCACTAGATCGTCTCTCGGGATGTCAAGGATGGGTGGAGTCATAGGCAAGCCTATCACTAGACCTGAGGGAGCAAACACAGCAGCTGCGTTAGATTCATGTTACACAGGTCAGTCAAAACCAAGAGGTTTTGACAGCGCTGCCGCTGGCCTGTCGAATCTCTAAAACACATCAGAAATCTGAAATGAGACACGCTGTTTTCTATATTTATAAGCTGTAAGGCAATCTGTGTCGAATGCAATCGGTCCCTCGTGCTGAATAACACCCAGACGGCAAAATCATGGCTGGATCACTCTTGACGATGCAACGCCACTCTGAACTCCCAGCCTCCTCCTCTGAAACAGACGCAAAAGCCATTTGCCCTAGATTCATTACCAATGCATTCACCTCACTGGCTTGTGTTTGCTTATTATGGCTCTAAAATGTCATTACTGACCCAGAGTCCCCTCAGGGTGTTATTAGCTGTGAGTCAGACTCTGCACCTACAGTCTATTACATATAAAAGTGTCACTGTGACTTACGCTCCACCTGGATATCATTAAAGATGAAAACACAAACAGCAACAGCAAAGATGACTGTTTGGAGCAAGGAGCATTTCTGTACATTAAATGGTGGCATTCTTCATATCAGACTCGGGAAGACCTATTAACAGTCACAGCAAAACTATAAAATTTTGAATACCTACGGTATATCAAATATTTTTTAAACATTAGATCAACAAAAAAGTGCATGGGCAAAACTGACTCAAATGCTTTGAATGAATACATGGAAGAAAGAGAGAAGGCCCAGTGGCAGAGAGTAGCAGAGAGGGGTTTCACAACAGTCAGTTATGATGTTCTGCCAATCAAAACCCAAAAGTCTGGACAGCTGCAACTCATGTACACAATCCCCAATCCTCCAACACATCCTGCTGGTCAGGGAGCACAATGGAGTGAAGTTATTCTTGTGTAAATATTTTCTAAATCGTGTTTAAAATAAAGGCCGATCCCAGTGGAAGGAGTCTGATCGGCCCAGACTCCTTTCAAGACTTCACATGCTGCTCAGAAAACAGCCCTTAGCTCGGAGAGGTCAGCTTCAGCCCCACTACATTACAGTATTCGTTGTCACAGCTCACATTTGCTACTGACTCTAGTATGAAATATTATTCTTAAGATAAAGAATAAAAGGCAGTTTTCTTTGAAAAAAAAGCTAAACAAGCTATCTGGGTGTATTTGTCACTCAAAGTGTCCTTAACTGATTTGAAGCATTTGGTTTTCTGTATTTGAAGTGAACTTCAGAGCTGATGTGGTTGCTTTCTGTCATTTGACCCTTTACTTGTGTTAAACTACGCTAGGCAAGGTGTCTATACCAATAATTCAGATCAATAATGTTCTATAAAACCTAACAGTGTGTTTTATAATTGCTAGTATGGGCCCTTCTACTTTCCTGTCTACTTAGAAGTACATCTACCAAGAAATTGCTTTTGAATTGACATGATTTGATACTTTGACCTCTCTTACAGTCCGGTGGGAGGATGCTTTACTGAAAACTTGAAGAACCATGCTGACAGAAAATAAACATGTAGTAATTAGGGTTGGAAGTGGCTGCAGTTCATAAATGGCTCCCAGCTTGGCACCCAGCAGGGTATTCCTTCCCGACTCTCTCAGAGATCTATAACTCTGCCTCTGAGTCCAAGCCGAGTTTCCCCAACGCATTGTCTCAGGTCTGATGTGAACCTGCAGCCAGCTTCAGTCCCATCTCCTACCGACCTCACAACCAGCGCAGGTTTGTGCACAGCTTTGTGTAACACCTTGAAACGGTGTGAGGCCAAACAGATGGCTGTGTCAAAGACACGTACTCACGGGGCCAGTATCAGACCCCCGAAGAGCTGAAGGCGAGTGAAAAGTGAGAAAGGAAATTCCTATGCAGACTGCTTTTCACTGTTGTAGACAAAGCTGATTTCCTTCACGCACCAAGGGAAGCCTGGGCCAGTCTTCAAAAAAACTAGATTGATGAGCTCTGGACCTCACAGACCTTCAGAATAAAAATTTCAGGCCTACTATGTTTGCATTGTACATCAAACCTAGATTCACAGCATATCCTGCTATTATGCATCTTACTTACATTTACTAAGTATCAGGAGTAGGATTAAAGGTGAACTAAGACCAATGTCCTGCCTCAAAACTTTAAAAAATTACAAATTCAAAGAAGGAACATAGTTCAAGGAATTCTTCTTCATCAGACATTAAAACTCCTAACCTCTAAACCTTTTTTCAATTTAGCCTGTTAGTTTTTTGTTTTGTTTTTTAAATCGCAAGAGAAAAATTTGCTCTTGCCTTGAAGTAAGAGTTATCGCTGCAGATTCTTTAAGCTTTGCCGACCATATTAGGTTCCAGGCTTTGCATGCCTGAAACTTTCCTTATTTCATTTACTCTCAGGGCTCTCTTAAACATCCCATTCTCCTCCCTCCAATTTCGTCACGTATGGATTCTCTGTCAGGATATCATTAGCATTATTTTTCCACATGCAGGCCAGTCCAATAAATGTAAAAAATATATAATAATAAAAAAAAGCTGTCAGCAGTGAATTTATGCGACATGAACCAGGTCACTGATGCATCAGTCTGGCAACATCTTTTCATTTTAAATTTCTCCCACTTGTTTTGATATTACAACTAAAATTGCAAAACGACACTGAAATGAAACTGTAGCACCAATATCTTATCTCAGCCTTGAGTACTCGGTTGATCTATAAACTCACCAACCAGCATACGAGGAACTGCTCTACAGTATTGAAAGATATTGCTAAAAGGGGGTACTAAGGGTGTTTGACACTAATGGCCCCTGACCAAGTGTCACTATCTAACTAGCTGAGAATGAGAATGTGTGCCTCATAAGCTGTCTGCAGTGTTATGGCCACAGCAGAGAGCGGCTTTTAATGATAAAAGCTGTAATAGATGGACTAAGTATGGTACATGTTCACGGTTCAGTGACAAATGGTCTACACAGCCCATTTTCAACCCTGACCAGGTTCTGCAAAGCACCTGTATGCAATTCTCACTCACAAAGGCACTCAACACCACTTATCTTATGCACCATATATGCAGTATGCAACCATGTTTGTTCTGCCATCACACAACAGATGATGTATGGGATGCAGCTGTGCTTATAGCTAGTAAGGACCCATATTTCGTCTCTCTTTGGTACTAGACCGCTCCTCACTTGTCTTTTGTTAACTATACTCATGCCATGCTGATATTAAGTGCAACATTATGTCAAATTCAAATTCAATTTAGTCCAGAATTGCTGCTATTTGTGAGAAAGTTTTAAACCTTTTGTCAGATTTTCACTGCTGTGAGAACCAAAATCTTTTTCTGCACCAGCCCGATTATATTTGTCCTTCAGGTGTAAGAAATTGAGTGGAATATTACACTCACAGGCTGTCTGTGGCATTCCTATCATATGGAGGCTTCTATCTAAAAAAAGCTAAAAAGATATCAATCGGGTAAGAAAAAGTTGAGCTACAGTCAACGCTGCGAATCGCTAAAGAAAGAGGAAAAATGTGTTCGAATGAATATTTTGTAAAAAGTAAGTCTAAGAAAAGTCTTGGCAGCTTGAGCAAAACATTCAAACAAACGGTTATTTGTCATCTGAACCATGTTCCTGCACAGCATCCCACAAAGGCCTGTGTTATATTAAGAAACAACTAAATTCAGTTGATTAAATAATTATTAATTATTTACCAAGTTGTAGAAGAGATAAGGTAATGCTGGTGAGCTCTCTCTGTGAACAACTAGGAGCGGTAGCTCATAATCAAATGTTCAACAGACAGGTTCCAGTGCAGGTCAAGGTAGATGTTCTCATTTATGCAAACAGTTACTGTTTGCAATCAGTTCCTTAACCAAGGCAACAATCTTTATTATTGTACTAAATGTAAGACAAACAAGACAAAAGAAAAAAAAACTACACAATCTGTTTTGTTTTGGTTTTTGGGGGATTTTTTGTAAAATGCATGGCTTTAAAGCCTCTGCTGTGGAGCCTCCCTGGGGATAATAGAAAGACAGCAAAGCCCAGGCCACTTACAAAGATCTAACTTACTGCATTTGAAAATGTGTTTGAGGTGGTTTGCATCAAACACTAAAGGGAAAGTAAGCATAGTTTGAAAAAAGAAACTAATTTATCAGACAAGAGAATTGTGCACACTGTCATTTAAAATGATAGTCCAGGCTTTCATAAGAACATGGAGGGCTGATGTGAAGTGACATGATGTTTGCCTTTGACTTAATGCACAGACTGAGCAATGAGCTGCGAGTTAAACACCTATTGTAGCCAGGTCTCAGTGATGGATGCTTCCTTCACAATCTTTTGAGAGACCACACACTGACAGACAAGATGCAAATTGTGAATCTTTTCAAATGTCAGGACTGGCTCGTAAGCCCTGAGAGATAAGACGTCAAGATGTTGGAATGGCATCTGATTGGGATGGGAACCTGGAAAATAATCTTTTCCTGCAAATGTGAGGGCTGAGTTCTGGCTGCTTGATATGCACTGGCGTACAGTAGATGTGTCTATCACACTGCAGCGTGAGCAGTGGAGTTCCTCACACCAGAGGGCAGAGAGGACATTGCCCTCACAAGGAGTTGGGGCTCAAAGCGCTTTGAAGTGAAGCAAAACATTTCACAGATCATTCAAACTGACACAAGCCATGACACATTTGACGGTGAACTCAGGACTTCTGACATGTGCTTTTCAGGGTCAGTTTGAGGATGATGCGGGCCCCGGTACTTGCACGGACGTAGGATGTCTTGTAACTTGTCATCCTAAGTGGTTCTCTCATTCCTGCTAAAAGAAGCACTGTAAAGTCATAATATATTCTTTGCTGGATGTCTGCAGGCCAAACAGTGAGGTCTCTCTGTTGTTTAGACACCTCAGATTGATGAGAGGTGGGAATCGTGTATTTCTCTGCCTTATAGGTGACTCTTATGCATGGCTCCCCTCAAGCTGTGAGTTCTCACTCCTTGTGTTTTGTCGTGATAAAGATCTTCAGTGCCAGATGTCAATACGTTCCATATGGATGTGCTTCACA